GATGTGTCATCATTTCCGACGTCAAAGTCGTCTGCTGTTTGAACAGCCTACGTCAAGGCGAAAAATAACATGCTGCCTACGTCACAACTGGTGATTTGTCGTGGAAAGGGACATGAGGTTAGGCTATCCTGCTATAGTAGTAGTGTGTATCATCCTTGGATTTGCATTATGTTTGGGCATACAGATGACGCCATTAAAGTGATCTGGCAACCTACCTCTACCTCTTTCAAACAGCCTTGCAGTTTGCACCTCACCAGTAATTGAAAAGTAAACAAAAATCCTATCAATATACTATTAAGGTTATATATTAATAAGACAAAAAAGTAAATATATTTTAATTTTATATATATATTTATGAAATAAAAATAAATACAGATTTGAATTAAAAAATATATTTCGCAAATATAAATATAAATTGAAAAAATGATTATGGCCACAGCCCTCTACACTTACAAGCCATGAAGTTAAAAAGGCAACACCGCAATCTTACCGCCAAGTGGTGCTGTTTTATTTAACCTCAATTCCGCGTATGGTTTATTTACTTTTATTGATGATATGAATTCTTATCTCAATTACATAAAAAAGTAGTTTTCTTTGAAAAAATATTAGTAGTTAGTAAAATTATTGTAATATTACCAATATTTTGTACATATTAATCACACAAAATGCATCATATTGTACTAAAAAGTAAAAACAGTAATTCAATGAATAATATAAATATTTGTGTAAATAAGAACAGTAAATAATTGATTTAAATAAATATATTACTAGATTCTAAAGTGTTATAATCCTATATCTATTTTATATGTACAAGGTCTTGTCAAACAATTCTATACAACTAGCAACTACCTATCATGTTAAAAAAATAAATACTTTCTAAGAATTCGGGAAAGCTACCCTTAAAACATACCTCTATTATTATTTTTAGTACCTAGGTACATTTTTTTTCTATTTCAAAGTGGTTAGTTTTCTTTTTTTACTTGAATCTGTTTTATTTTTATGACATTCACTATTTTTAAATTTTGTGTAGTTGTTTAAAATAATATTACTCATTATCAAAGAAGCAAAGGAGTAAATTTTTTTTGAGTTAGCACCACATTCACAAATTTTGTTCAAATCAATATTAAAGGTATCCGACTCTAAAGCTAATAAAGTAAGCTGCGATAATAAATTATTATGATCATTTGTTTTCAGGAACATACTTTCAAGATCTTTGTTATTAATTATATACTCGAAGATAGCACAAAGATGAAAATAAATAAACTTGGTTTCTTGAGTGGCAATACAGAGACCCCCTCTCTGCAGAGAATTAAAATATGTATGATCCGTCTGGATGCCTTTTGCTAGAACTACTAAACTTTGACATTTATCACATTTATTATTCTTCAAAACTGATCGAGCCACGTATCTGACGTATCCACAGATGTATTCCTGCACAGAGTCATCAAAATTGCTGTACAATTTTAAATAATCACTATGCAGAACAAATTTGAAATTGTTAATTTCCTGCAAACTTACACACATAACATCAAAATGTTTCGCACACACTACAGAATTTTTTGTTACCGTATAATTATCTCGGTGTATAGCTTTTAGCCATAATTTCTGTAATTCGGAAGTTTTTGGAAATGAAAATGTTGTTTGCAGTTCCTCAGTTTTCAGGGAACTCCTATAGTTGGATTTGCACCTCGGCACACAGCAGTTTCTTGGCATCTGGAACAAGTTTAAATATCTTAGATAATAATAATATCGAGACCTATACATGTGCTCTTGCACTTTGCAAAGTGGAAACAAATATTATATTGTTTTTATTTGCTTTTACCTTAACTCACCTTAATTTTTGCTCCTGTACCGATTGCAGTATTTGCTATAAATTCACAATCAAAACACAACTAATAATGGCATAACAGGTATAAACCAAATATAAACAGTAAGTAAACAATATATTGGTGTTTCTAGCCACTTTTTCGTTTGAAAATGCACCTCACTCTAGCAATAAACAATGAAAACAATACACAGAAACATATAACCTCAATAGCAAAAAAGCACCATTGGCGACGTTGCCGTTATTTCCAACTTCATGGCTTGTAAGTGTAGAGGGCTGTGTTATGGCACAAACGGCGCCTCATATCATATGAATGGACGCCGTTATCGGTTTTGGGTGAAATGTCAGATGTTATTTGACATGTTTCATTATTGTCTTTTGTCAGGTCTGTATTAACTGACATTTTAATTATATGGGAGATAAGACCGCCTCTTATGATATCATTTGGAAAGTATTTTGATTCCTAATTCAAGACTTCTTCGTTTTAAAAATCCGATCAGTGTATGCGGAGTCAGGAGAGAATAATTCAATGTGTAAGTTTTTTTTCAAATTTTTCTCTCATGCTTACTATCAGTTTACGGTTTAATTAGCCTAGCAGCTCCCCAAAATGTTTCCCTTGCTAGTTTATATCGAAAGTAGAAAATGGTCCCTTTTCGCCTGGCTTTCACACCTAATCCCTATCTTTTTCCATTCAAAAATTAGAAAAGGTGACTTTTTACGACCTCACAGGGGCTCCTTTCAGAGGCGCAATATCCTAATATTTCATAGGGCACCGCACCACCATATCTAAATAGTCCTCAACCAAGGGACATTTACAACGTTCCTTCAAACAAGAGGCAATTTCATTTATATAAATTTAAAATAAAACTGTTTCCAATTTTCCCAAAAATTTTTGGGTCAAAAATTATTAATAATTATTAGGTACCTATATGTGAGAGCTAGTTTGTTTTTTAAGTCCTTGAGCAATAATTTATGATTTCCTTGTCCTTAATTCATCTCATATACAGGGTGGGCCAATGGAAACTTTCCACACTGATTTTTTGGCTTCAAATGAAAATTTGAAAAAACGCTCGGACACGTCGATTTTTGATTTGAGGGGGAACCATTTTTCAGTTTTTTTCATCCCCGTAGCTTTAACCCCCTAGCTGGGGGGAGAACAACCCCCCAAATTTGAATAGGGGATAGGGATCGTGTCATACCTCCTTTTAAAGGTCTCATCGAGTTCTTTATGACTCTGGAATTTCGTCTTATTATTTCCATCCGTAACGAAATGACAGCCTGTCAAATTCTTGGAATTAGCCTATTGTTTCAGTAGGAATAAGATCTATACCTACCTGCCTTAATAAAAATACTTACCATTAAAGTTTTTTTATTATTAATAATAATTATTAATTAATATTATTAATTATTAAACATAATAAAACAACTTTAATTGCAAGTATCGCTTTTACTCCTACTAAAATAATGGTCTATTTCCAAGATTTTGACAAGCTGTCATTTCGTTACGGATGGAAATAATAAGACGAAATCCTAGAGTCATAAAGAACTCGAAGAGACCTTTAAAAAGAGATATGACACAACCCCTATCCCCTATTCAAATTTTAGGGGCTGTTCTCCCCCTAGTTAGGGGGTTGAAGTAACGGGGATGAAAAAAACTGAAAAATAGTTTCCCCTCAAATCAAAAGTCGACGTGTCCGAGCGTTTTTCTAGATTTTCATTTCAAATCCAAAAAATCGGGGTGGAAAGTTTCCATTGGCCCACCCTGTATATATACAGGGTGTCCCACAATCAACGTTACAGGCCATAACTTCCTTATTTTCAAAAATAAAAATATGAAACAAAAAAAATTATTAATGGCTAATTAAGCTCTCTTCAAAAATATAAAAAAATCATCCCTTGAAAAAATCATCCCCTATTTACAACCCTTGACTTTTTTTTTTCAAATGGCACCCCTACTATTTTTTTTTATTTTTGAGAAGCTTATGAAATTACAAATTTGCATGGTGTATAAAAAGTTTGTTTTTTCATGTCTCTTGGGGGAAAAAAATGGGTGTCCCACCCTTAGTCTTATACAGGCAAACACATTTTTGTCTACAAAAATAAAAATATGACAAAAAAAAATTCATTGTGTGCAAATTAACCCCTTTTCAAGAATATTGAAAAAATCTTCCCTAACAAACTCATCCCCTAAAAACAACTCTTGCCTTTTTTTTCAAATAGAACCCCATTATTATTATTTTCATTTTTGATTTTTTTTCCAACGAAACATGGAAAAACAAACTTTTTATACATCATTGAATTTGCAATTTCATGAACTTCTCAAAAAAAAAAAAAAAAATAAGGGGTGCCATTTGGAAAAAAAAAGTGAAGGGTTGTAAATAGGGGATGATTTTGTCAGGGGAAGATTTTTTTATATTTTTGAAGAGAGCTTAACTAACCATTAGCCATTTTTTTTTTCAAATTTTTATTTCTAAAAATAAGAAAGTTATGGCCTGTAACGCTGATTGTGGGACACCCTGTACATATACTTTTTTTGTAATTACTCGTGTAATTATAAGGTCTGTTTCTGCAGAAATTACAAACCAGTCAGAGCGAATTTCGTTGGTTGAAAACAGTCAAAAACAGTCAGAAAACTAGTTTCAACCAATGAAATTCACTCTGACTGGTTTGTGATTTCTGCAGAAACAGACCTAATAGCAATTGCCTTTGCTTTTCTTCCTTGTAAGTTATATTGTTCATATTTTGTTCTTGTTTTATTAACTTACTTCCTCCACTTCTCTTACTTTGAATTAACCTATTCTTTTATTTATTTTGTCTGACTAGACATAAAAACTGTCCAAACTTTTCAAAATCGTCCTCAGTTTTTAGTCTCCCACAAACCTCTGCCAGATAAATATCCTCTCGATTTCTAATTAAATATGAAAAAAAGCACTCATGATTCCAGTCATAAAATATACAGGCGTCGCCAGCAGTTTTCGGTTTGTCAAAATAAAGAGGTATTTGTATTTATACCATTACCTTCCAGGCTATTCATAGTTTGCTCTGTATCTCAATAATGCAGCATTCTACTGGGGTGGCATTCGGGATTATGATGTAATTATATATATATATTTTTTTTTCATAAAATTCTGACAAATGTCGTCAGGCACATCAAAAATGTCTTTTTCCAATGCAGATGCAATGGCAGAAAAAGAGCAAGAACCGAAACTGTTGTCGCTGTTCCAAGAAGGTGCTACTGCTGGACCACTAAAAAGAGATGACAATGAGAAAGGGGAGAAACGAAGCTGTGATAGTGATGAGTTAGAAACGCATCCAAAAAGACTTAAAGGTAAGTGGAATATTGTGAAAAAAAAAAACTGGCCGAATATTTGTTTTTTCTAACCAGCTTCAGCTCCGGACCAAATGTGCTTGGACGCTGGTCAAAAACGTTTTGAACTTGTCAAGTGCAGAGAGTGCAATAGATGCTATTACCAGGGCCATCCTGAAGACGAATTCGAGCACTCAAACCTCCATTACGAAATGCAAGTAGTTCAATTTAATGTAAGTAACTAAAATGACAACAATGATGATTGAAATATTGGAAAAAAAACTGACATTCTAGGGTTGGACAAATGAACGTGTGGTCGCCGACTACCTATCAAATGGTCGCATCATCCAAATTTTGCCCACCGACTCCAGAGTCTGGCTGAGAAAGGCTGAAGAGGTTATGTTTGTTGTCAATCGTAACCATGGTGGTGTCTTACATGACATCAGCAACTCGCAGATGTATATATACATCAAAAATAGCACCATAGCAGGTTGCGTTGTTGCCAAGACGCTCCAACAGCCTATGTTGGACAATCACATTGATGTTTCTCCGTTTTCCGGAGAACACTATCCAACTAAATGCGGCATTTCGCATGTTTGGGTTGGGGCTTCTTTCACAAATCAAGGTAAAAACTTAAGAGTTATGATATCAATGGTTTGATTTATTACGCCTACACCACAATTTGAATTTATGTTTTTCAATGTGTATTTTTTTGGGGTGAAGTGGAAGAACCTACTGAACTATATATCGTTGCTGTCAGTACGGAGGGGCCAATCTCAATATTTGGCGAAAATGAGTTATTCTCATAAAAATACCTAAAAGAACCATATCTATATTGTGACGAACTGGCATATCTCCATAAACACCGTGTGGCCATTATTCAATTTTAGCGGCATATCTGCTTTGTCAAACAGCCAAACATTTGTTTTTGTTATTACGAACGGGCCTATCTTCATAATAATTTATTTACAGAAAAAGTCCAATCTTTTCTTTGAAAAAAGATATGTCTCAATGTTCTAGGTATACTTTTGTGTTATATGTACATGAAAAAACAAGTTCTGATACTGAATTATATCCAGTGCTACAGACAAAATGAACAGTAGAGTTTTCTTCAAAACGCTCTCCTGAAAAGTTGTTAAATCAGAGATTGACCACTTCATAATGACAGCGACGATATGTGTACTATTATTTTTCATTACAAGTTTGAATAAATATTTATCTGTTCTACTCTAAATGAAGAGCTATTCAAGGACTGATAGGGCAAAGTTCTTCTTTACCATGTCTAGTTAGCCCATCAACATGAAATGGATGAACCAAGTCTGGCATTTTCACATCTATGCAGGGGTGGATTTCACCTCGAAAAAAATAGACCAACTACGCAATCTCCATAATTTCCACCCATAAATCTTGTTTCTCATGACATTTCGTTTGATCTTATATGTGGATTTTGGTTGGACTAATAGCAAGAATTAACATTCTTGTTTCTGGAGACACTTATCAGTTTAAGAGCACGGATTCATATTTATTCATTCACTCCTACTTTTGCAAAATTCTAAATGTCGATCATGGTCATCTTCATTTCAATTCTTGGATTAGTCTGATTTTATACAGGTAGAATTTATTAGTTTTGAACATTTTTCTAAAGCTAATACGGTACTTGCCAACATGTACGTAGAAATTAAAATCAGGTCAATAATAATTTGATTTAAAACATAAACTTCTATTACTTTATTTTCCACTTCAATTTCCAATGTCACTAATTATTCCTTTCCACCACCGCGGATCTACACAAATTCTTAACAGTACTTTCGGCCATTTAATTTCACAGTTGACACTACTACATTAATAAACCAAGTTTATCAGGTACCAGAAATAATATTTTAATGTCATTAATAAAATATCAGTGATTGGCATTTACCTTCTTCTTTTTCGACCCATATTTCTCCACTCTTGGAGATAGGTCTCTCCCAATCGCTTCCATATCCCATGCTCCATGCTGTATTTAATCACTGTTTATCTGCATTTTTTCCACTGCTCTCCATCCATCGCTTCTGTTGGCGTCCCACACTTCGTTTATTAGTTTTAGGTCTCTACACTGTTATTTTATGTGCCACATGACTAGCCCATTGTCATTTCATCTCAACAACCTTTTGCATTATATCAGTAACTCTTGTGTTTGTGTCCTGATATTTTCGTTTCTAATTCTGTCACAATGTTGGTGTCCTCAGAGCTCATTATTTTCATCCTATTGTATATAATTCATTTTCTGTTCTATAGTTGTGGATGCTAAGTTTAGTTCATTTACCAAGAGCCAGTGTGAACAATTTAAGCATCAACGGTTTAAGTAATAGTTGCTTCCTATATTTTTAAATATTTTCGATGATTTGGATGTACCTTAAGTTTATTCGTACGTTTTGCAGAGCCGTTAAGATTGACCAGATTTCGTTGGTGTCAAAAGCCTTTTGAAAGTCAACAAATACTAGGTGTATTAGTGTATAGGCATGTTATATTCTGGACATTTTTTTATTAGGGTATCTACTGTGTAAAGGTGGTCATGGTACTATATCACTTTCTAAATTTCGTATGTTCCACGGGTTGGTAGAAATCTAATTTTGATGTTACGCTATTTGTTAAAAAGTTTGTATAAATGTGAAGCAGGGATATAGGTCTCAAATGGTTGACGTTTGCGTGATCGCCACTTTTGAGTAATGGTATTACTTACTCCATTCAGATGGAATTTTACCGGTATTGAGAGATTCATTCAAAAGTGTTTTTATTGCTTTCCATAGAGCTCTTCCTCTCAGTCTTAACATTTCAGTGGTAACTTGGTCTTCTCCTGGACATCTGTTCTTTTTCATTTGTCTGAATGTTAGATTTATTTTGTCCTCTGTAATGTCTGGAAGATCTTCGGATTCAACGTTTAACATTTTTACCTTTCTTATTGGGTTTTGCGATTTATATAAGTTAATGTGAAAAATGTCGATCTCTTGAATGATGTCATTTTTATTTTTTACTAAAATATTTTTTTTAAATTCTACCCTTTGAGAGTTTCTTACTTAACACTTATAATGGTTTCCTCTCTGGGTTCCGCATTGTACTTATTTTTTGTCCTTTCTAATTTCTATTTTAACCTGCTTGTTTACGTTCTAATATTCTTCGGTTGATTTATCCTTGGCGCTCCGTCTCTTTCCCAATAATTATACTGTGTTTTGGCTTAGGTTCCAGTTTTTGTGGCTTCAGCTCTTGGAGCAGATCTTCTTTACCCAAGTTCTCACAGCGCACGTGATTTTTTTCTGCGAGTTTATCTATCTCTAGATGCCCATAATTGATTTTTGTTAGTTTTTGGTGCAAGTCGTGTGGATATTCTGCTTCTTTTAGTTATAGAACATTGTGGGTGGGGTAGCGTTGTTTTTTGGAGAGTTTTTTTCTTTCATTTACAATGTACCTTAGGATTTATTAAGTTGTAAAATCTACCTGCTGTTGGTGTTGGAGGAGTATTGCAAAAATACACCCCTTAAATAATAGGTTTACAATAGTTTCAACTAGTTTATCATTAATTTGCTTGATCTATTCAAAAATAGGCTTACGCTCTCAGGTGTATATAAAGTCAACCTTTGGTCATTTTTTTTCTATTCTAATTTTTTTTTTTAGGGATTGCATATGCACTGGTTGAAGCTGTTAAATCCAGCTATTTCCCGGATTGCGTTCTATCAGATAATGACGTAGGGATTACGGCTCCCACCGTAGCCGGAGCAGCTAACTAAACAACATGCATGTGTGTTATTTTGCTTGATGAGTTCATGCGAGTAAACGATTTTCAAACCTTTAGTATTATCAGATATTTTCGAGGATATTTTATATTAAAAAATCATTACACACACATTTAAGACAGGTCATAATTACTTCCATAGCTTGTAAATTTTAAAATCAGGTATCTATCAAAGGCACTAATATTATCAAGACTATCTTCAATTTGTTGTTCATCTATTATACATTTCTGGAAATAATTTCTGGGTAAGTTTTATTCGAAAATGTTAATTTTAAACGTCCATTGATTGTTCATGTCATTTAAGAGGGTACATACTTTCAGGTATATTATCAGATTTGTTATCATAAATTCGTAATATAAGTTATGTTTTCAATTCGAAGTTTTGGGCAATACAGACTGTGAACCTGATAACCCATTTTGAATAGGAAGGCAATAGAATATGTATGTAATAATATACTTTTACATTTGTGTTAAAAATGTCTAAAATTTTACTTTTGAAGTGATTTTTGGAATCTCAGTTTTTTCTGTGATGACATTCTCAGAGGCATCACAGAAATTCAAGTGTACAAAGAAAAATCACATAAGTATTACTCCGCTGAACTTAATCACACAAAAATACCTACCATGGGACCATTTTTCACATTATGTTCTTTTATGTATTATGTTACTGTCAGAATTTTTGACTTTATGTATCAGATAGCCCGGTTTAGCTAGCTAATACGCCATTCTGATGTCTCAATTCACAATTCATAATAGCCAATGCTCAATTCACAAACAGAAACAAGTGTTTATAGACCGCCTAACTATTCATGGTTGAAGAAAGTGAAAGCTTCTCAGACAGCTAGCTTTTTTGATGTTTGTTATTGTATTCTCGATATCGAAATATCAATTCCAATTCAAGATCTACGTTGGAGGCAATTAAACTGACAAATTTTGTCACTTGTGACAGATGCATGAGTACAAACCAAGTTTTAGTGCTTAATTTTTGCTAGTTACAAGTTGGTCGACTTTGTGAATTGTGAATAATACACTAAATTGTGTATTATAGACTATTAGCTGGCTAAACTGGGCATATGTTCACCATATGTTCCATTATTTATTATTCTACTTGTAAGATTTTTTTGTTTTATTATACACCGCACAAAAATTATCGCATCTATCAAAGCATAAACCACAGCATAATTGCAAAGTTGAATGTATGCCTGATGCCTATCCGCATTTTTCCGAAAAAGTAAACAAGAACGTAACAGAAGAAGTAACGACATGTTTTTTGACTTGAGTTTTTCAATTTAAGAAAGCCCATTCAGGGAATACTTAAGAAATTTTTAAAATAAATTTACTGTAGCCAAAATATTTTAAAGCATTGGTGATCGTTTTTGTGCGGTGTGTATATCACATTGTTTAGGTTAAGAATTTTCCTTTGCGTTTTCAAACTTTTATTAGAGTTATCGTATTGTTTGTCCGATGTGACAATTTTTCGTTTTATTATATCACATTGTTTAGGTTAGGAATTTTCCTTTCCTTTTCGAAACTTTTATTAGAGTTACCGTATTGTTTGACCTATTTTTACTGAAAGTACAAATTATGGCCATTTTTTAGAAAAGTTCTTACTTTTGTATAAATAAAGCAATTTATTTTGTACGTTTTAAGATTTTTTTTTATTCTCAAAAACATATACTGGAATTTCCTATAATGACCTTAACCCTAGAATGACTTTTTTGACACGACTTTGTGTTTTGAATAGGTGTTTTCAAAGTTAAAATCATGGTAATCGGATTCACACACCTTTTAATACCGATTTTGTGTGTCCAGCATATTCTACTATCCTCTGCAACTTTTCTTCTTCTTTTTTTTAAGTCAAGTTGGGTGTCTTGCCAAAAACTTAGTGCCTTGTTCATCATAAAAAAAAAAAATATTCTATTTGCTTGCCTGAAACTTTGTTTCGATCATACCCAAGAAACTATAAAAGGGGCCCACAGACTGCGTTTTTGTTGGATGGTTTTGTTCTACGAGGAAATCTGGTTGAACAAAAACGACGCAAACCCGAAGTGTATGTGGGCGGCAAAATGTCATTTTGCTGGCGTACAAAACCGATACAAATATCGGGCTTTGCCTGATTTTGTCTGTCAGAGATGTTCGATATGTCAACAAATAATAATAATAATAATAATAATAAACGTCTTTATTTGCATATTCATACATTCATAATATATAATATAATATAATATATGATTCACGCATACAGAACACAGGTGGCGAAGTTTAGCCAATGGCCATTCTTCCACTCAACCATCTGTGCCCCACATTGGGCCAACATTTTAAAGGTAAAACAAAAATAACAGGTATTGTAGCATCTATCATCTATATAGGTAACATTAGCTATTTTGTAACAATCGCTTCTTATATTCTAGTCTCAGTTTATATACACTGTATTCTCTGAATGGCAAATTAACTGAGTTCAACAGTTTTACCATACAATAAGAGAAACTTCTCTGAAATAGTGAAGTTCTGTGTTTAGGCACTGTGAAAGTTGTACCATTTCTTAAGTTTAAACTATGAACATTATGTGCATCAGCTCTGATGCACGTTTTTGTTTGCACGTTAATGTATGCACGTATATGTATCAAGCCATCCACGCGCCGTGTGTAACCGCCTTGGCCGGGACACATCTATCATGCCTTCTTCCGATCCGACTCCGATCATACAATCAAGGTTCTTATTCTTGGAACAGGGGAGCAGCGTTCCCAGGAGAATGCCTGGGAACGCGGCTCCCTATTCCAAGAATAAGGACCCTGATTGTATGATCGGAGTCGGATCGGAAGAATGCATGATAGATGTGTCCCTGGCTTTATGGGCGGTTACACACGGACGTGGATGTCTTAATACATATACGTGCATACATCAACGTGCAAACAACAACGTGCATGACGCCTTTGTACAGACGCTCGCACAAAACTGTAGTCTTGCTATTCTTGCTACGGTGTTCCGAGTGTGCATACAAAATTGCACATTTAAAAACGCGACGATATTTTGCATACACATTGATGTTTTTGTTTGCACGTTCATGTATGTGCGTACATGTTTTCAGACATCAACGTCCGTGTGTAACCGCCTTAAGCCTAGTACTCATAACTGCGAAATTCGCATTTTTTTGACATTGCGTTGAGAATTTGACGTTTTATGCGTGTATCAAACGTCAAATTGTCAACGCAATGTCAAAAAAATGCGAATTTCGCAGTTATGAGTACTAGGCTTTAGGGAGGATTTTCATGCATCCGTTTTTCCGACGAAATATGTCCGTTTAACATTCTATTCTGACATAATCGTATATAAATATGTCAAAATAGAATGTTAAACGGACATATTTCGACGGAAAAACGGATGCATGAAAATCCTCCCTTATGTGTATGCAAAATACCGTCGCGTTTTTGAATGTGCAAACTGAAGAATGACGCTCAAATGAATTCTGGAATCGCTAGAAATGTTGTATGCACACTCGAAATACTGTAGCAAGAGTAGCAAGACTGACATTTTTGTGCGAGTGTCTGTACAAAGAGGCGGTTACACACAAAACTTCAGTCTTGTATTCTTGCTATTCTTGCTACGGTGTTCCGAGTGTGCATACAAAATTGCACATTCAAAAACGCGACGATATTTTGCATACACATTGATGTTTTTGTTTGCACGTTCATGTATGTGCGTACATGTTTTCAGACATCAACGTCCGTGTGTAACCGCCTAATGTGACATGCAGGTTGTTGTTTGCACGTTGATGTATCAAGCCATCCACGTCCGTGAGTAACCGCCTTTTGGTTCATGCATACTTGGTTTTAGTACATATTAGGTCTGTTCTAACCGACATGAGAACCGTTCTGCAACGGTAATTTCCAGTCGATCAATTCATTTGTCAATTTAAACGTGCAACTTATTGAAAAATAGCTGGGCAACTGGAAATTACCGTTCTAGAACGGTTCTCATGTCGGGTTGGAACAGAGCCTATATAACATTCTAAAACAACGCTTGTTTAGATCTCGTTTGCATGCAAAATTAAATAACATTTTTCATCATAAATGTTTTTTCTAAACTACGACCGCTGGCGCAAACAGCTGACAACGTAGTTGATGACGTCGTCAATGGTGCTACACAATATGGGCGCGATACCCAAAAACGAGGCCGATAAGCAATCTTGTGTAGTAGTGTGTAGTATCCTTGGGTAAATACCGGTTATAGAAATGTCAAACGATGACGTTGCAAAGGGCTTGTTAGTGACGTCATTAAATATAACCACAACCAAAATCGCATAAGCTTAGAAAGTAATTACCGGTTAAGAACGGTCGTCCGCTTTAGATCGGTTTAAATCTTCCTCCCCAAAATTTTGAAATTAAGATCAAAAATAGAGCTGTTTTCTCAGGTTCACTTTTCGAAACTGGTTCACACAGGTTTGAAACTATATTCTCGCGATGAACCCATGACGTCACATCAAAACTGGTTCAAACCGTTCCAAAAAAGAAGTTATGACGTCATGTGACACCAGTGGTGACGCGTGACAAGCTGTCTGGTTGGGTAAATGGGGGGTGGGGGGGTACGGGGGGTGTCTCCTTGCAAACGCACCGCAGGCTAATTTTTTGCAAATTTCAAGGTCATTCACTTTTTCAGAACAGTTATTTCCTTTGTGATAAAAATAAAACAAGAAAAATTTATGTATACAATATTTATGTATACATATTATGTATTTTCTGATTATTCGATCCTGAGAGGAGGTAATGGGGGTAATTTACGGCGTTTGACGTTTTGAAACATTCGAGACGCGGGATAGCATATCAAATCTGGTATCAAAATAGATTCTCGATGCCACAACCCACAACTCGTAAAAACGCTTAAAGATAAGGGAAGACAAAAGAAGTACATCATAGTCATCATAACATAACCTTCAAACAAAAACAAAACACAACACATCGGAATAAATAAACGTCTGTATTTTCTTCTGGAAGAAGTTATTAAAATTTGGATGAAAATGCCAGTTAGAAACCAAATATCCGAATTTATGCCTATGGTTATCGTATTTGTAAGTATCTAGCCAACTATAGGCTTAAATTATTAATATTTTGTTTAAAAATCCTGATTGGTAACTAACAGTGGCTTTATAGGGTGCTCAATTTATGCTCAAAACATTACATTTTAAAATTGTACTAAGCCCAAAACCAATTTCTTTATGACAGCAATGATACTGAGATTGTTTCTATCTTGATGCTTGAGCCATTATACAAATCATCTTCAGACAGGACACAAAAAGTCAGGTTCCCTTTTAGTTATATTTTCAACAGAGAGTTGGTAGGTACCTATGTAGTAACATTTTTCAAGTTTTCTTGGTATAACTTGCAACTGTAACATTTTTAGTAGTACAACAACCTAGTGGCTAGTCCATGTAAAAGCCTCGCTAATAGCCCATATCTCCTATAACCTAATTATAGTTTATACGAACATCCTGGGGCATTTGTACCATTTTCACGATCTGGAAAATGATTCTAAGTTTTTTCTGTTCTGTCTCGTGTCTATTCTGCTATAGGTAAATTTATCTAGAAAATGTTTTTGGATAGTTTTCCTTTATTTTTTCCATATGCCAATCTAGAAACTCTAAAAAGACATGTGAGCATTTAATAAAATTTCTTCATTTGGCAGAAACTTCCCCACAGAGATAGGTAAGCAATTTCCGTTTCACATTGAAGTTTTGGAATAGCAAAAATTAATGAACAATTACATATGCAATATGGATACCTACCTAATTTGTTTTTACTTTGCATTGTAGAAGTTTACATGTACTTAGGTATATGGATGAACAAAAAATTCTTATCCCTTATTTTATTCGAATCTTTCAAGTAGACCTTTTACCCTAGCTTTTAGGTACCAACGACACATTCCCACAAGCATTAAAAAGTTGAGTATATTAGATTCTCTTTTCGGACTTTAGACAAAAAAACTTTTGCTTCACAAAATCAATTAAGTACTATTTGAAGATTTTTTTTCTAATATTTTCCAGCAGATTATTCATCTTTGAAGAACAAATTGCTGGTCAGATACAATTAGATAGGGACCCGCGTTCTTTCCATCCCCATAACAGAGTTCCTTCAATCTAAGCCCTTAAGAATATGGACAATTTTCTGCTAAATAGACGTTTTTGGGTAAAACTATTGAGGCCACTTTGTTAAATTAGTGTTGGACTGGCCCATGAAAAACAATACCATGACATTAAGATTCGAATTTCTACGAAACAAAGCCACAGATTTTCTTATATGTATATAGTTTAATTACTTGCAGATCTTCACAATCATTACAAATCTCAATGATAAGTCTCGCTCCTGTTCATTTCCAGAGTAATGCTCGGAGTAACGGTTTTGTTTTGGATAAAGTTTTAACCTCATTTGGCAAATCAGTATCAGCAATACACTGGCCTGAGTCTGCCAGTTATTGTATCCGAATCCTACTTGATTGTTACCTGGTGGTAGGTAGCTACGCTACAAAATTGACTTCGCTGGGTCTGAGCAAATATAGCCTCAAATAGAGCTTGCCTCAAGATTTTTTTAAAAATTGTATCACACATCGACTGCCACTATGTTTAGTGGTCTAAAACTTGGTACACAAAGTAAGTCCCTAAAGAAAAATTACCAGAAATGTGTTAGTTACTTTTAGAACTTAACAATGTCGTTTCATCACCAATTCACAACAATTATACTAAAGTAATAAAGGGATTTTTCACCACATATTAAAATGGGGGAATATTGATATGCCAACATGTAGAGACAGCTCCAATTTCTCTTTACTTATCTTTCTTAATCTATACCAGATATACAATGGCACTTTTCTGGACTACGCAGGAACAAACACTGTGTTATAGTGTGACAATTTTACTGAGAGAGATCAACATTTTGTGTCTTTAGTATGATCCTACGAAGGTCAAAAATAGATATGGTTTCTTGTTTTTTCACCATCTCGAAAAAAAAAAATGGAATAATTAAACGCTTTTATTTTCATTGATGTGCATACATACAAAACAATTTTATGCAATGTGGTCATATGAATGGATATTATAGATATCACTCTAATTAATCTTTCCGGTTATGGCAAATGTTTCAGATCTGGTGAGATTTTTGTTACCATACACTGGATCTTGTCAAGAAGTTCAATATCCTTTATGTAATATGGATTCCACGCAGTAAATGCATGTTCTATTTTTATTCTTATGTTGCTTTTTAACAGAGTAGATATTGTTTCGGTCCTGGTTCAGGTGAAGTTTTCTTGAAAGGTATGGTATATAAGGTATAAAAATTAATTGGTTATTTTAGTGATTTCTTTTATCTGGCTCTGCCATTTCAAGTCGGTTGTTATTACAACTCCCAGATCGATCTGTTCCTTCACTGATGCCAAAGTGTAGTTATTAAGAATATATTCCTCCTTGGGATGGTTTGGGTCGATCCTGAGCACTGCACATTTAGAAGTGCTGTCTTTCATACCAACGTTTTTGGCCACTCTTCAGTTTTCTGCATATCTGTCTGAAGTTGATCTGCACTTGTCAAGGGATTCGTACATGTACATATATTTCTATAATATCTTTGAATTGGGTTTTTGCTTTAATTATGAGATGATCAGATGATCATATTCTGTGAAAATATTAAATATGCTTTTTGGGTAGTTAGATAAAAAGAGGTTTAATAGTGAAACATCTTGTTGTTCCTGTAACTTAACTAGTTGGGAAGTGTACTATCTGATGGACGTTTGTTTCTTGATACATGTCCAAAAAGTCTTGTGTTTTGTTGTTTGGATGTGCAGTTGAGAGGCATTCCCAGTTTATGTGGGTAGTTGATGTCTCCTACTATTTTAGGTATTTTGTAATGTATTTTTTTATGTTTCTATCAATGAATAGCCATATTTTTTTTAGAATTCAGCTGATAATAAATATTTTTTCCTAATTGTTATGGATGACAAACATATTCGGTAAAAAATCAAACTTCAAAATAGGTCCCCTTGTACCTGCGGTTGGCTTGGCCCTACAAAAATAATACATCCTTTTAGCCATTTTCTTTTATTCATAATTTGGACTTAGTATATCATATAAATTATTTTCAGTCAGACGATGAGCTACCTTATGAAGAAGAAATACTGCGCAACCCCTATTCGGTCAAACACTGGCTACGTTACATTGACCACAAAAAACAATCGCCGAACCTCATCTACGAACGTGCCTTAAAACAGCTACCTGGCAGCTACAAGCTGTGGTACAACTACTTGCTCATAAGACGTCAACAAGTCAAAAGCAAATGCCTACTGGATCCAGATTTTGAGGCCGTTAACAATTGTTTTGAACGCTCCCTGGTGTTCATGCACAAAATGCCCCGCATCTGGATGGATTACTGTCAATTTTTAACAGATCAAAACAAGATCACGCGCACGCGCAAAGTATTTGATAGGGCGCTGAGAGCGCTACCAGTAACACAGCACCATCGGATATGGCCTTTGTATTTGAAGTTTGTCTCTAAACATGACATTCCGGAAACTTCTGTAAGAGTTTTTAGGAGATACTTGAAGTTGTTCCCAGAAAATAGAGAAGAATTTGTGGAATTTTTGCAAAAAATTGATAGGTTAGATGAAGCAAGTGTTATTTTAGCTAAATGTGTAAATAATGACAACTTTATTAGTCGAAATGGCAAGTCTAAGCATCAATTATGGAACGAACTGTGCGAATTAATGTCAAATAACCCACAAAAAATTCTAACTTTAAATGTGGACGCCATTATCAGGGGCGGCTTAAGACGTTACACGGACCAGCTAGGTCATCTATGGACCAGCTTGGCAAATTATTACGTCAGGAGCGGCCTGTTCGATCGCGCCAGAGACATTTTTGAGGAAGCCATACAAACTGTTACAACCGTCAGAGATTTTACACAAGTTTTTGATGCATATGCTCAATTTGAAGAGTTAAGCTTGAGCAAGCAAATGGAAGAAGTGGCTAAAATTGCTGAGCCAACTGACGACGACAATGTTGACCTTGAATTAAGGTTGGCGCGGTTTGAACACTTGATGGAGAGGCGGCTACTGCTTTTGAACTCGGTTTTGTTGAGGCAAAATCCGCATAATGTACAGGAATGGCATAAAAGAGTCCAACTGTATGATGGTAAGTTGAAAATATATTTTTTTCGGTTGAACTGCTGGCCCAAATATTCGGCCATATTGTTCTTTCCAAGGTCGTTGCCTTAGTTGGTGTTACTTCTGTCATTTCCAAGACCATCTAGAAAAACAATCAAGTTGTTCTTTTGTGACAGCTGCAAAATCCACATTTTATACATGGCCGTTAAACTGTTCAAGTAAGGCCTATACGAACAAAAAGGCATTGATGCTTCAGCTGAAATTTTGACGAAGCGAAGCCCTCTAAACCAAGGAGGCCTTTCGGAAACGTTGATCCGATTAAATGGATTACCAACTGATGTACTTTGTCTTTTTTCAATCGTGATCATCAAAGAAAGATAAGAAACAAACAGCTGGTGATCGGGTTGATCAGATCACCGTTTCCGAAAAGGCCTAGGGCCTTCGATGAGAACAATATGGCTTGCAAGTCAGGCCAAAAAAACATAAATATGTCCAATGTTTCCAAGATTCTAAAGTACAGAAAACAACGTTGCCTAGCTTCAAATCCATCTTTTTTTAGGACAACCTCACGAAATTATCAATACTTATACAGAAGCTGTTCAAACGGTTCAGCCAAAGTTGGCCGTTGGTAAGCTTCACTCCCTCTGGATCGCCTTTGCCAAATTCTATGAACAAAACTCACAGTGTGAAGATGCCAGACTGATTTTCGAAAAAGCCACTGAAGTAGAGTACATCAAAGTAGACGATTTGGCAACAGTGTGGTGCGAACGAGTTGAATTAGAGATCCGTCAGGAGAACTACGAGGAAGCTTTAAAACTGATGTACCGTGCTACAGCAATGCCCAAACGTAAAGTGGCCTACTTTGACGAGAAAGAATCAGTGCAGGCCCGGCTTTATAAATCTTTAAAAATATGGGCAATGTACGCAGACTTGGAGGAAAGTTTCGGTACATTCAAATCTTGCAAAGCTGTCTACGATAGGATTTTGGATTTAAAAATTGCAACGCCGCAGATTATTATTAACTATGGAATGTTTTTGGAAGAGAACAACTATTTTGAGGAGGCTTTTAGAGCGTATGAAAAAGGGATATCGTTGTTCAAATGGCCGAATGTTTACGATATTTGGAATACGTATTTGACCAAATTTCTAAAGAGATACAAGGGTAATTGGGTTTTTTTTTATAATTTTTAGCTTATGTGTATGCATCTTTAGGGTTTATTCATCTCTAGATAAACTTGCTGCTAACTTTCTGCAAGATAAATTTACCGTTCTATATTTCTATTGGTCGGTGGATAACTGGCCGACCATTGCATACCTGACAGTTTATCAGAAGGTGAATAAACCGGGCAAACTAACCCAAGTAATTCTGATTTTAATCTGTCAAATGGATTCCAAACTTTCATTAGAGAGTTGCCCATATTTTCTTTAACATGAATAGATTTCCTCTTTGGTTATCATCAGACTATCCCAGTGTCTGACTAATAAGAAAAAAAATTAAACATAATATTATGTAGTCAAAATCTTTAGACGGCGAAACCACACAAAAGCCAAAGTATATAGTCCAGTTATACCATAAAAACTAACAAAGAGCTAAAGCATCGGATGAGTCAAAAATGTCCATAGGAGATGTGGATTTAAAAAATTGGCAAGTGCTTGAGTCTTGTTGGAAAATTTCTATTTTTTGATCAAACATACTAATTTTTGTAATTGGATATTTCTGTTTGCGTACCTACCTGCACTTTTCATTTCCACTGGAAAGTACTGGTTGATGAAGCGAACCATAACCAGACGTATTTCCGATGTTCCCAGTTCGGGACCAGTCCGACCACAGAACAGTTGAAAAATTGCCAGGATTTGCAAATGAAATGCGCCCGTGGTCCAGGACAAGCTAGTTTTTTTGTTTACTCTTGGGTTTGTTATTTATCGTAATCGTTGGGACTAGGGATGTATCGGACCGGGTATTTGGCCGATCCGGCCAGAACGGGAATTCCGGCTGCTAGCCGGACCGGACCGCCGGAATTCCGGCCGGATCGACAGTTTTCTGCAATTTAATAATAATTTGAATGGGCGCATTCTTTTTTTACCGGCGAACCTACATATGATCAGTCTATCTCTTTCTAGTACATAGGAAATCAAAATGACTTACTCATAATGGAGAATAGCTTGATGGAAAAAAAAAGCGCCTAAAGTTTGGTTATGTTTGAGTCTGGCTGCTTCCTTCAAGTAAATTGGGGAATCCCCGAGTCTATCTGACATCTGACTCAAACGCTTGTGCATGTAAAACGTGAACGATTTTTAGTCGAGTGTAGTTGCAGTTGTTTTGTGTTCCTGTGTATCCAACTAAGTTAAAAATGTCAAAAGTATGGAAGTTTTTTCAAATCCATACCTGAATTTAATGTTTATGTTTAAAAAAAAATATTGTTATGGTTTACTACAACTTTAATTTTAATAAAGTTCTAACGGCCAATTTCATAATAGAGAATTAAAAGTTACTTTAGCTAAATAGACTTTTAGGATAGGATTTTTCAACTTCAAATGGAGCTTTAAATTTAAAGTTTACTTTACCGGCCGGATCGCGGTTGCAATCCGGCCGGAACGGTAGTTCCGGGCTATAGGCCGGATCGGCGGGATTTAGTGGTACCGCCGGAATTCCGGTACATCCCTAGTTGGGACTGCAATAATTGATTTACTATTTATTTTTTGTTTGTGTTGTGAGTTGTGACTCTTTAATTAAACTCTATTTATATTCATTTTTCTATGGTTCACAGGGGACAAAATCGAGAGGGCGAGGGACCTGTTCGAACAATGCCTGGAAACTTGTCCAGAAGCCTACTGCAAAAACCTCTACTTACTCTATGCCAAACTTGAGGAAGATTACGGAATGGCCCATCATGCAATGGCAGTTTACGAACGTGCCACACAAGCTGTCTCACAAGATTCCATGCTGGAAATTTTTAATATTTACATCAAAAAGGCATCGAGCATTTACGGGATACCAAAAACCAGGCAGATATATGAAAAGGCTATTTCTGTCTTACCAGAGAAGGACATACGGGATGTTTGTCTAAGATTCGCCGATATGGAAACTAAATTGGGAGAGATTGACAGGGCCAGGGGTGTTTATTCGCACTGTAGCCAGATTTGCGATCCTAGGATTACAGGGGAATTTTGGCAAACTTGGAAGGAGTTTGAAGTTAAACATGGGAATGAGGAGACTATGAGAGAAATGTTGAGAATTAAGAGGAGCGTGCAGGCAACCTATAATACTCAGGTAATTAATTTAAAGTTACTCATTTTATTTTTTTACACCTTTTTTGTAAGGATAAAAAGTATTCATTTATTTTATGAAAAGTATCTTTTTTCAGTATTTTTTTTTAAACCACTTTTAATTTTCTAATATGAGAACACTTAATGGCAAGCTTTTTACTGCTTAACTAACGAATTATTCGGAAAGTGTTGACTCTGGAGTAGTGGGGGACAATTGGAAGATCCAATGTATACTGGGTTCTGGTGTTTTTCATTAAAATATTACAGTGTAAATTATCCGAATACTTTCTCTCTATTAAGCATACAGATTCCAAGATAACCATGGAAGGGAGAGTCGGACTTTCTTATGTCAAGAAGTACAGGGTGATCTGTTATAAATGTCTAATCCCATCTAACTTTTTATATTGCCATTTATCATATAAGTCCTAACTTTGGAAAAAAATAGGCAGGTTAACACTGTTATACATCACTTTATGTATCCATTGAGGGCAGGGACCATTGATTTTTTCTCATAATTATTATTCTGGCATTAGATTTAGACAAAGTAAAATTATCATGTTATTTTGAAAGTGATGGGACGGTAGGTGTCCCTTGCAGTTGGGAAATTACCAACTCTTTTATCTGTCCTAATAGATTTCCTCTAAAAATGCTGTAGTTTTGTTGAACGTTTTAGTTGGCTTCCTAAACTCCCTTATTCTAAATATGGTCAAGTGATGTCATATACTGACGATACAGTTCTGTTATTTGGTGAAACTGGCTAGGAGAAAGTTGAGGATAAATAAGAAAACGGCACTGAATGTAAAGGAAACTAGTTACATCACATTTTTAATAATTGATGCGAATAGACCACGTTTCACCAATTTAAATATAGCTATATACAAATGTTGAAATCTCCGAATCATCATATAATGTTAAATATGTTGGTCTAGTAGTGGACAAAAATTTGAAATGGGATAGTCTTGTTAATAGCTTATGTAGGAAAATAAGAAGTCTGGTATACAAGTTCTACCAGCTCCAAAAATGTATGAAAGAAGATATGTTTTGCAGTATGATAATATTGTTTGGGGTGATCTATACAAAAAATGTGTTAGAGCCTCTAAACTATATTTTATAAAGAAAGGCTATTCCCTACAGTGTAATTCCACATTGTAATATTGTGGTTTATCATAAATTAATTATTTTACTTTTCACTCTAGGTTAATATGATGTCAGTCCAAATGTTGGGATCATCCTCACCTCTAGGAACTACAGCCGATTTAGCACCAGGCGAAAAGGATGGAATGCGACTGTTGGAAGTCAGAGCTGCCGAAATGGCTTCTTCTTCAGGTATATTTTTCAGCATACCTAATATTCAAATAAACTTTCTCTTTCGTGTTCCTATTTCTTTTTTTCTAGGTGCTCAAAAATCGGCGACCAGCGGTATAATGTTTGTTAGAGGCGAAACTCAAGGAGGTAAAAAGGATAAAGTGGTTAATCCAGACGAAATCGATATCGATGCCGACGGGGGTGAAGACGAAGATGGGGAAGATGATGAGGATCCTGAACCTTTATTGGAACAAATAGAGGTGCCTCAGGAAGTGTTTGGCAGTTTGAAAAAGCCTGATTAAAGTAAAATGTTAGTACATTTTTGGCATAAAATAAATAAATAATAATTATTTTTCAATCTGGTTTTAACTTTAACACATTATCGGTTGCCAGTATATTCCCATAAGGAGTGAAGGTATTTATGTATTTCAAAATAATTCACAGTTTATTGTTGTTACATGGCGCTACGGTAGCAGTATTTAATTTAAATCATAGTGGTGTCATATGAGCAGAAATTTCAGTGACCCAAGGAAAATTTCTGGAAAAGCATTTTTTTCTATCGGCTTTAAAAGTTATGAGTAGCTACACTGTCAGCTACACAATTTTATAAGTAAACTTTTAAACGACATAGCTCATCGGAAAGAACTCATGTTGTTGGGGCTTTTATGGCTACTATTGACCATTCCTGTGTTTTTTCGGGTCTTATCGAAAATCTCAGCTCTCCATCTGATTTTTGATTCCAAAGCCTTGTGTCACTCACTTTCTTACACTTTATTGGCTTGATCGAAAAGATTATGTGGTGGTTCCGTAAGGTTCTGCTTTGGGCGAATCAGAAAAATAAATTGCTGTTGCTTCATAGGGATGCAGCATGACCATACTTTTGAAAAGTATGGTTGAATCTTAACTTAGTTGTTACCCTCTCTGGATATTTTTTGCACCGAAGGAACACTTGTTCATCACAGTGAGCTGCAAATGATTGAAAGAATTGTTTATTGGGTGGCTACAGCTCAGGGTTGGGTTGCTCGGAGAGCATCAATGTAATCTGATATTTATTATTAACTTCTTCATTCGACAAAATTTTTGGCATTCAGAGTAATTTCACATGATCCGTTTTTTCGAGCGGCCGGAAAACTGACAGATTGGTAAGGTCACGAAAATCCCAGAAATGTATTGCTTCGTATGCAACCGTTCACATTGTCAACGTCTGTTAAAAAAGCGGCAGGTACCAACATCTGCGTTCCCATATTGAAGAAACAAGCGCTTCTTTATAGATGCGTTCAGACATTTTCCATGCGTCAAGTATATGAGCAACAAAACTTGATCTTTGAACTATATTCCGTGAATTAGTGTGAAATGTTTCACCCGGTTCATTGCCGTTCCGTCATTTCTCTGGCCCGTCGAAAAACGGATCATGTGAAACAGCTAACCAACTGTCTTTGAAGTCCGGCTTCATTTCTTGCCCATATTAATGGTCGGGTCGGGATACGAATAGAGAGTGCATATGCAGAAACAGCCAACTACAGGCGTTCTTCACATGCTCTGATGGTCTACTGGGACTACAAGATGCAAACAGTTTTCCCATTTCCTAGCCAACATTAACTGCTGTTGATGACCGGTGTGGCTGAACGAACCGGGTCCATATCATGGGCTTTTCGTTTTCATAATAATTGCGGATTTGATTTCGGTAAAAGTTTAGTCCAACCACAACCGGTTAATTTTTAAATTATGTTAAACCGTTAAACGGTATACCTGTCGTTCACTCGTTAAGCGTAGAGGAGTAGGGAACAAAAGCATTTTTGAAATATGCATGCGCTGACTTAAAATCCGCAACGAATATCGCAAAATATTAAAGGATCCCACACACGGGCGCAATATGGCGGTGGCGGTAGCGATCTGTCCGCTACCGCTGCAGAAATACCTCCACCGCCATATCGCGTCAGTGTGTGGGATCCAAACCAATTCCAATTTTCCCGCCCCCTAAATTTCAAATTTTGCGAATTCGCAAAATATTGAACTCTGACAGATCTTTTCTTTTCAGTGGGCTGACCAATAGGAGCGGCCTTCGCAATTCGTGATTCACATCTATGAATTACAGGTTATAGGTAGAGTAGCCAATCACCGCTGCTCTATGTCATCTGACAACACTGTTCTGGCCAGTGTTGCCAGATCTTTTGTTTTCGCAGTACCTAGATCTTACAAAATGTGACATGTGAGACAACAGGAATAGCTCGTCAAACGAGAACTTCCAGGGTGCGCCACTGCGCTGAAGTGAAAGTTCTCTTCTGAAGAGCTACAGCTCGTACGCAGTTGCGCGAAATTCGCGATTTGCATTATGCAGAAAGAAGAAGCAGTTTGAAGAGGACTAGTGTCACACGCAATTCAGAAAATGCCGCCAAGAACTCAGAGATTTTTGTCCTATCCGTGTTTGAAAAAAGTATGGTTCTAGAACGGTTCAAAACAATCGCAGAGTTTATCAATCAACAAAGAGTGGAATGACAATGGCGCGGCTATCACAAATTTCAATATTAAACTGTGTTGTTTTGAACCGTCCTTTTTCCAAACCCAAACAGGCCTTATTACGACAAAAATTCGTCGAAATTATCTGGATAGAATTAAAATAATTTCTAGTTCTCTACTGTTTTTTCAATGAGAATCAACTGCCTGACCAAATTGGTCTGACAACGCTGTGTGTGAACGAAAACGACATCACTCATGTCAAACTTCAACGTTCAAACTGGTCGAAAATTTGAAAATCGTTGGACTGTGTATTTGAGATCCTGAAAAGTTATAGACTAGTAGGTAAGTTTTTTAAGAATTTTTCGTAATTCTTTATTGGACAAAGCCATAGCGATAGCAAATTCCTAGCAGGGGTTGAGGTAAATACAATGTGAAACTGCTAAACGATTTGGGCCTGCACTTTAACATATATCTGCTATACTTAACTCGTTTTTGAGTTATAAGAATGGTTAACTAAAAAATTGAATAAAAAACCAAACAAAACTTTATCCGGTCAATAATATAGGATTTCTTAAATTAATAATCAATACCAGCTAATAGAGAAAATCTTAACTGAAACACAAAATAAATATGAGGTTAGGTTCAAAAAAAAAAAAAAAAAAGAAAATTTGTATTTTATCCAGATGAATAATGATAAAATACATAGGTAACTTGATCAAGAACTGGATGCATGACATTCGTGTATTTCCTACGTTCTACATGTATGAATTTCTTCACCAGATCAGCTGTTTTACATTTCTGAAATTTCAATTTCCAGAGATTACAAAAAATCATAATGAATTTTACTTATTTTATTTTATATAATAAATAGGTAAGTACAGGGTTATTGATTATAAATGTCATTCCGCTCTATCTTTTTTATTTGACATTTTAGAAAGAAGTGTCCCAAATAGAAGTTTTATGGTTGAAATTGAATTTTTTGAAACACTCTCGCATATACAGGGTGTTTCAGAAAAGCTGGTTGTCCTCCATTTTTCTCATTTTCAATAGACTACCCTGTGTATATTGAATATTCAGATTCTGCATAAAATTTTAAGCAGATTTCATGTGATATACCCTTTACCTAAGTTTAACTGTTTTGGAAATATTGGCAGTTGAAAATTGACTTTTTTATAACTTTGACAGGCCGTAAAACCAGTAAAACCTAAACGGTTAATGTTAGAGCAAAACCGATCTTACATTTTCATCTTAGATTTTCATAAACTATCAGTTGACACCAACCTTGAATTTAATCCATGATTGAAAATTCCAATTAAATTTAATCTCCGGTTTAATTCAAAGTTGGTTTCAAATGATAACTTATGAAAATCTTAGAAAAAAATTTAGGATCGGTTTTGCTCAAAAGTTAACCGTTTAGGTTTTACAGCCTGTCAAATTTTCAAAAAAGTCAATTTTCAACTGTCAATATTTCCAAAACAGTTGAACTTAGGTATAGGGTATGGTATGTCACATGAAATCTGCTCAGAATTTTACGTACTTTTTTCTAAAATGTCGAATAAAAAAGATAGAGGGGGGTGACATTTATAACCAATAACCCTGTACATATTGATAGTTCCTAATAGTAAAGATAATTTTAAGTGATTATGATTTGATTTCACCCACGATTCAACACAATCATATTTTTTTGATTAGCAGGCAGAAACCCCCAAAATTCAAAAAAGTTGGATTATTGTCATCGGTTGGAGACAATGAAATATACGGGCGCTTTCTTTTATTCAGCGGTGGATCCATCAGTAATCAGCCTTTCTTTGTCTAGCTCATAGAAAATAGGAATGACTGTCTTATAATGCTGGCAGCAGATGGATCCATTGCTGAATAAAAGAACGCGCCCTACCTGAATGTAAAGCTGTCAATGAGGTGACATTTTTAACATGGAAAATTACCAAAATAATATCAATACTTACTTTTAAATCCGAATAAGGAATGTGAGATTAATGAATACATTTCAACCTGTGATGTTTCTCTGGCAACTATAATATCGCCATTGGTTTTCACTTTTTTCATAAACGATTTGGAGAATTAGGTACTATTAGTACTAACCTGAAAACATCAAATTAATTTTATACCCATGCAGACGAGTTTACGGTACAATTGCAATATCTGGTGAAGATGTCTCAGATTTGTAGAACAATGCCAACAAAATTTTGCAATTTTTCTCTAAATTGAAATAAATTGCAGAACAAAGCCAACAAAATTTTGCAATGTTTGAAACAACCTTCATGGTCTTCTAATCTGGTAAAGATCTACTCTACTGCATCTATCTCTCAATAGCAAACCTATTTACAAATTCAAATTTTGTAGTATCTACTGGGATCCCCACTTAATGGATAGATCACATTGAAGATCGCTAATATTGTCCCATTATACAAGGGTGGAAATGAGGAAAGCCCCTCAAACTACAGACCAGTGGCATTGCTGCCAACTTTATCTAAGGTTGTGGAAAAAATAGTTAAAAGGCAAATCCTTAATTTTTTGAAGAAAAAAAATATCTTGACCACAGTGCAATTTGGCTTCCTAGAGAAAAGATCCACCAGTGATGCTATATTCAGTTTTCTGGAGGATCTTTACATGAGGATGAACGATCGACAGGTTGCAGCGGCAGTGTTTTGTGACTTGACAAAAGCTTTCGATTGTGTGAGTCACAGGATATTGCTGCGTAAACTGGAGATTTATGGATTTAGGGGTAAAGGACTAAGTTGGTTTGAATCATATTTGACCAATAGAGTCCAGTCTGTATCTTATAATGGGATAAGATCAAACCAACAGACTCTAAATAGTGGAGTGCCTCAGGGTTCGGTTCTGGGACCAATTTTCTTTTTAGTCTATATTAATGATATTGCAAACCTTAACATTTCTGGAAGCTTTACATTGTTTGCAGATGATGCAACAATTCTCTGGAGTGGTACAGATGAACATATTTTGGTTGAAACCATTAACCACGACCTGTCCTTAATAAAGAACTGGTGTGATTCAAATAAGCTGTGTCTAAATATTTCCAAAACTAATATTATTTCTTTCAAATGTAACCTGGGACCAGTTTATTTGGAAAATCAGATATTAAGTGGCACACCCCAAAGTAGGTTCTTAGGTTTGCATATAGATGGTAGATTGAAGTTTGAATGCCACATTGCAAACCTAAATAAAAAATTGGCATCAAATTGTTATGCTTTAAAAATAATTTCAGGTGAATTAGACGAAAATATTACGAGACAAGCATATTTTGCATTAATAGAATCCCATCTACGTTATGGAATATATTTTTGGGGTTCTTGTGCTAAACAGCTAATGCATACAGTATTCATTTTGCAAAAAAGAGCAATCAGATACATGAACAGGGCCAATTTGAGAGATTCATGCAAACCGCTTTTTGTTGCTAACAATATTTTAACATTACCATCTTTGTTTATTCTTGAAACAGTATCTCTAATTCATAAAAAGTATAGAAACACATTGAACCAACAAGGTTCGTCATCTTATGCCACCAGGCAAACGTATAAAATGTTGTTACCTGTTCCCAGAACCTCCCAAGTACATGACTCTATTGTTTTTAATGGACGTCAACTCTTCAACCATTTGCCTGTCAGTATTAGAGAGATTTATGAGGAAAGGAGATTTAGGAGGGAGGTAAAAAAGTTGCTCGTTGCGAGGGCCTATTATGATATACAAGAATACTTCAATGAAAGATTTTAACCATGATTTAAGCAAAAAAAGGTGTGCTTATGGATACTTTTTACTGTTCTGTGTGCTGTGTGTTTTTTTTTACTATGACGTTAAATTGTAAATGTACTGCTTTATTTTTAAATGTAAGATTTTATATTATTTTATTAACTGTTTACTGTTTGTGTTTCAATTTTATAATTATGTAATTTAATGATTCATATATATTTAGACTACGTAAACTAAGTCATATAAGTACACTTTATTCTATTTTTGATTTTGTAGGTTCTGAATTTATTCATTTATTTTTTTTATTTTATTACGTACCTTTTTCAGCTTTGTTTACAACATTACTTTGTTTAAAACAATAAAGCATATTTTGATTTGATTTGATTTGATTTGATTTGATTTGATTTGAACATGTAGATGCTAAACTTAGTACAGGCATATGAGCTATGCAATTACCTTCTGTGGTCATTCCTGCGAGATGAACTGATTTTTTTTTCTTTTGATATAGCCTCTCAACCCCCTAGAATCTTGTTAACATTGTTTCAATCAATCAAAAAAACTGTCATTTCTTTTTACATTCAACTTCCTTTGTCGATTAAGTATTTGTAAAAATACATTCCAACAACTGTCCACATTCATGCTACAGGGAAAAAAAATTACATATATAGGTACCTTCCTCTTCACAAATCATCCCTCCTACCAAGGAGTTGTTACTGTTTTTATGTCCATCTTCACAAAAAAACTGCCAGCAAGTCTGATAGAAATAGTCTGCTATGCTATTATGACTATTAGCTTGGCTGTTTTGACACAATACAAGTTTTTGAATATTTGTGTTAAGTAATATGTTCAACTTAGATTTTTTTACCTCATATATCCTTGTCATCTTGATAAGAATAATGAAATTATGAATATTAATAACTTATATTTTGTGGTTGAAATGGTCTCTTGCAATGTTGAAACCTGCTCGTTATCGCGAGCATTCAATATTTCCAACTCACAATACTTACAAATAATGCATTTGTATCTTTTTTTTGAAAGTTCGAAGAAAACATTTGCAATAGAGCTTGAATGTCTTACTCTTCCATTGCTAATGGGAAATCGGAGATCGCAATGCAATGGTACCCACAATGGGCTTAGAAAAAAAATCAACAATCAACAAACTCATGAGTAATTAGCAGTTGGTGCTACGATAAACACTTGCGTTTTCTGTAGGTAGTAAGGATTTCAATCACCTGCCACTCCACAAAAAAATAGATTCTAAAGTTAGTTTTAGAAAAAATGTATGAAAAAAGTTATAGTAGAAGCGTTTTATTATCTGGACGAATAGTTTGACAGAAAATTTTAGTAGTACCCTGTCTGTTAATATTTTTATGAATTATTTGGTTTGTTTCGTTTGTATACTTATTATTTATCTTCATCAGACAATTGCTTTGCCTGCATTATGAGGAATTGATTATTTATTATGTATGTATTTTGCACTTTTTCTATGCAGCAAGTTTTCAGACTTCTTTGTTAACAATACTTGCTATAAAAGAATAAAGCTATTTAAAAAAAAATTATTTGCCTTTATCAACAAACCAGCGCCCCTTGTGAAAGCCTGTGGGAGGTTCCCCTACCTCCTTCTCTACTTGCTAGGCCATGTTCATGGAATAAATTTCTAATCTTGCTTTTAATCCATGCAATCGAGAGTTTTCAATGCTTTTTTCTTTTTTTTTCACAGCTGGTCATTCCGAACGCCTTAAAACTGTACCATAATACGAAAGTTCCAAGTTCACCACTAGCCTTTGTACATACATGGACGCTAATTTAGTTGATAAATAAGGTATTAAAACAATGGTGAAGAGTCAGAGCTTCCGCTTTGCGTGGAAATGCCAGCAACCCACAGTGCTATCAGGATTTTGCAATCTACTAGAAAATGGAAAGTTATTGGACATGACTTTGGCTGCTGGAGGCGAACGTCGGAAAGCACACAAGCTTGTACTTTCGGCGTGCAGTCCTTATTTTGAGAAATTACTGACCGATGAATTCGATAAACATCCCGTTTTGATGTTAAGAGAAGACATCAAACCCGAACAACTTGAAGCCATCATGGACTACATGTATAAAGGTGAGGTGTACTTGTCCATTGATAAAATTCAGGGGTTTCTTAAGGCAGCCAGAGCATTGCAAATTAGAGGGCTGAATGGACCTGATACACTTCGAAACTTGACATACAAGAACAGACCCCCTGATGATGGAGCATGCTCAAGTTCAACTGCACCAGGACCTGACAAGCAGCAAATATTGACAAGACGCAAGTTGGACAATGATTCTTGTCAAGCATCTACTTCTTCCGATACTCGAAGCTTGACCCAGAATATTACCTCACCAACTATACCATCCCGTAATAACCTTATGGATAGAGTAGATACTAGGAGAAATCTACCAAATGGGAGAGCCAAGAAAACAGGACTGGGACCATTAAAAAATGAAGCAAAAGTCCAAGAAGTATTTTTAACACCTCGGGAAGTGATAGATCCACGGAAGAACTTGGGAGTTATGAAAATAGTCATAAATAAGAAGGTTCGTAAATTAAAAATGTCCAGTCATCAATTCTTTCTATGATTATTATTCCTAATCAAGAGACCCAGGTTTTAATATTAGGTATGATTCAACACGCCAAAAACCTGGTTTCAAAATAAATTTGCATGCAAATTGCCAAATCTACGTACAAAATTAAGTTTTGTCAGAATCTTGACGATAAATTTTACGATTTCCTCCTGTGTTGGGACAAAGCTATAGTGATATCATTATAATTATTGTTAATGTAAAAAAAAATTATCCAATACTTAGGTAGGTACATATAATGACACTATAGGTGCTTTGATTTTAAATGAATAATAGCTGTTAGTTGCTCGCGGCTTCCTGTATTTAGTAGTTTTGGCTGTGTGTTATAGACCAGTCAGTCAGTCAGTCAGTCAGGACAGACGACTTTATAAGTTTAGATTGGTAGGTGTTAGATAATATAATCTTATAATTTAGGAAGTTGGCGTTTGCTTTTTTTTTGGATGGTTATTATCCTGATAATGACAAATTTTTATTATACCTTTATGTAGTTTTAAAACGTGATATATGTGGCATGTCTTACCTAATAAATAACTATTTTTTTAATACCCTCAAAACAAGAATTTCAACCTGGATATTCCCATAGAACCCAATTTTAGTTCACATGATTCAAAAAATTCAAAACAAATTTGAATTTCAATAAAAATAATGGAGTCTCAAAATAACATCCGGTTACTTATAAATCCGAGATAAACGTCCATAAGAGTTCCAATATCAAATTGAAGAAAAAAATATATATATACATAAATATATTGAAGTTACAAAATTTAATTCAAATAAAGCAGATAAATACAATAATTGTGCTAGTATCTACTCTAGTACCAGTATTTTAAGTCTTAGCTTTCTTCCAGCGTGTATGACAACATCCTTTGCATGGTTCTAGCATTTTGGATGTACCTACAATGGGGCAAAATTCCATTTCTGCTGGCATGGCGATGAACTAAGAAAAATTTAAGACCCGCTCAGAGCTTCCGTCATGTAAGACGTAAGAATGAAGAAGTAAGCTGTAAGACTTAGGGCGGTTATTAAAAAACTATTTTGACAGAATAACTGAAAGCTAACTTCTGGAATGACGGTGGTTGGTTGGTTTATTCCATTCTTTCAGGCATATGCTCAGCACTGTAGCCTTAAAGACTTGTTGGGTATCCTTGCACAAGCCCTACTCCTCCTCATTTATTCTCTGCAAGTTGGACGGTCGACCGACGCTTATGGCGCGTATTCACAGATCGATTTTAGCCGAACGAGCGTTGAATCGACAGAAGATCGAAATGATATAGAATGTTTAAACCACCTTCCGACTTGGTCGTTCGACGAACTAATTCGATTCGATTAAAGTAGAAAGAGTGTCTACTTTTGTCGAAAGACTGCTGCCGGATGTATGTCGAACGGCTGCGGTTGAAAATGTAAACACCTTTCGACGCGCTGAAACGTTAGCTGTGACTAATTTTCTTCTTTTTTGTTTGTCGTAACTCTTCTCGTAATAAAGAACTTACAATTTGCAGTTTGCACCCCTACAGCGCAGTTATCTGCTCTAACAAGTGCTTTTGACGCCATTTTTAATAATGTTGGGCAAAGTTTATGCGGGCTAGCAAGTACCTAGAACTTATAGCTTCAAAAATATACAGCGGGGCACCCATAAAACATGTTGGTGGGAGGGGAAGGAGGCTATGAGTTTTTGACTTATATTTTCCAATAAATGTCTCTTATGACAAAATTATGGTGAAATATTTTAGGTTCTGTGGTTTGTTATCATATTCAAAACTCCCACTTAGTGCACCACTGACCAAATGTACATTAGGATCAATAATATTTCTTTCCCGGATGAGATATCGACATAAACAGGCATTTTTCAGCAGGATCATAAAAAATAGTCGCACGATCACAGTGAAATCTGGACGTTACAACATCACATCTATATCACAATTTGCAGTACGAGATTTAGAAATCTCTTTGGGGCTTCGGTTTTCATTATAGCAGCAAACCAAAACCAGTAGGCGTAGTTGCCCTTAGCTTAGTTATTCTAGCGGAAGAGGCCTGTCCTAACGATGCTGACGATAATTTATCAATTTGCAATAAGTGCATGCAAACAAATCAGAAACTGGGTAGAGAAAACTGAATGTTAGCTTTTTTGGGTTAATTGGTAAAGTATTAACCTAATATAACCTAAGCCTAAGCTCAAAAAGTTATCACAGATAATTGGCAATACAACATTATTAAGAAAGTGCTCCAGTTATTCTTGTGTGAATTGTTGATTCGCAAAGGATAATCCCCTCTGGTTGGCCTTGTTAAGTTATTTTGATGCGGTTTCATTTTTATTCAACTTTAGTTATAATTATTTCCATTGAAATTAGTTTGTTGAAGTAGTGTTTTTATTCATGGTGATAGGATAATGAAACACAATAAATACTTATGTATTTCTAAGCCATTTAATTAAAGTTACTTACATTCACAATACAATTATAATCTAAGCAATTACATAAAGATTTGTGTTGGCTTTAATCAAAATCTAAAAGACTTATTTTTTATTCATTAGTTTTATACTTTTATCAACAAAATATTTCACGAATTATTCCAGTACAGCAAACAATTTGAATGATCTAGGTTTTTGAAACAAACACAGGTAGATATTTAATATTGAATGCCAGATACGATACCATTAGTTGATTTAAAGTGAATTCGACGGTTTAAAACATTTCAATCAATAATTTTAAATTGCTCAATTTAAACGTTTGGTGATAATTTTTATTCAAAAATTTCAATTCGACAAATTAAACTCAATTGTATTGAGAACTTTAATAATTTAACACTGGAACAGCAAAAGTTCGAGTAAATTTATATGAAAATGGATTATGGCAAATCCACTCCCTAATCTACAAAGATTTCAGTTCAGGTATTCAAATTTTGGCAATTTTCATGTTTGCCGCGAATTGGAACGATTGTTGAGCATCCGTTTGAATTATTAAATCCAAGTGTTTCCTATTTTTAGTATTGATGAATTAAAATATTTGTCGAAAACGTTTGTTTTTTGTCTTTCATATAAATTCGTCGTATTTATTATTTATCTGTAGTAAATGTTTCTCTATAATCGAATCGTCTAACGTGCAAAATTTGTTACACAGTCGTATTATTCCCAGATATTAAGGAAACATAACAATTGTTATTAAAAGAAAGTTTGTCTTTATAATGTTACTTGATAAAACTAACGAATAAATAGTAATAAGGCGATAAATAAAAAGTAATTCAAGAACTGATCAAAACAATTTTGCAATTTAGTTGCTGTTACTAATAACTTGTGTGAATTATTATTTTAAACGTTTTTAGACCTAGTTCTGAATCGAGCCAAAACACAAGACATTAATCCATAACAAAAATGGACAAGATATAAAAAAAAGTATATTAAAATACATAATAATTAAAAGTATATAAAATAATATAAACAATAATAAAAAGTAGGTACGCTATACAATCAATTTTTAAACTCGATAAAATAAATTTGTAAATAGATTCTTCAGGGTAAACTGATAAAATATTCCAAGGCAAACAATGGAATTTAAAGTGTTATATCCAAATTTGAAATCTTATGTCATTTCTATTCTTTCCAATGTGGTTTGCTCCCATAAGAAGTTAATGCTTGACACAACAATATCATGAAAACTTACATGTTTCTTTGACTTAAAACCGAGAATACCAGATTAGTTTATTTATAATAAATTTCCTTTTCTTTACAAAGCAAATTTATAATTGAAATAATAATAGTTAAGGGGGTCTAGTCAAGAGTTGACTGACTTCTCCAATATAATTGAAACTTTAAAATTTTATCAACATTTTCTGTATTATAAGACATCAATCAATATTGCATCTGTGCCAGTCAAATCTTGTGAAGAGGGTTGTTCACCCTGGAAAACCAGAAATGTTGTTTATGGAATGAAATTTTTGTTCATGTTGTTTCCAGTTAAGTATAATAAAAAAATATTGTTCATTACACATCTAGAAATGGATTTTTCCGTTCTTGCATGGCTTCCTGTGTTCAGCTGCCCCTCAAATTTGTTGCGAGCGCACGAAAAAATCCTTATTTTCCGGACTAGTAATGAAATATACGGTTTCCCCTTAAACTATGAGAAATGTAATATACACATTACACAACATCAAACTATTACAATCTATTCTATTTCGCTACTGTTTCCATTCCCGTTTTCCTTGGGAGCAGATCTGCTTTGGGAGCGAGAACGAGAGCGCTTCTCTTCTCTGTCATTAGAACGAGATCTGCTCTTCTTCGGTGCTGACCTCGATCTGCCAGACCTAGAACGGCTGCGAGACCTCGAATTGCTACGGGATCTGGTGCGACGATCACGGGAACGGCTTCTGGACCTGCTACGAGATCTGCTCGAAATAAAATATATATTAATGTGTGAATGTGCTTCTTGATTTGGGCAAGATAAATTATATTCTTTATAAAAATCACTGTTAGCAGTCAAACAAAAATATGTTTTAAGTACTTATTGGGTTTTTGAAATATTTGATAGCATTTTATAATTTATTCAATCTTTCAATTGACCAATTTCCGATACAGAAACGAATTATTTAAAAAATTCTTACACATAAAAACACCCAAATATGTATCATTTTTTGTAGGAATAAAACAGTTCTCACTTTGAGATTGCGACTCAATATCATAAGACAATAATATTTAAACGAGAGGGGAGGGAAAGTAATATCCCATTTTTAAGTCCTTTTGACAATCCAATTTGGATTGTCAAAATTTTGGTAAATTTACCAGTTTGACATCCTAAGAACATCATAACACAAAAATAGTTCTTTTCCTAACAAGTGCGCGAAGTAGTACTTTTCCGCACGCAAACACAGTTTTATACGAACGAAAAGAAGCGGAGTTCGGATAAGTTTTTGCGTGCGGAAAAGACACTTTGCGCACGTGTTAGGAACAAAATTTTTGCTACGAGCTTCATATCCAGGTAGGTAACAATGAAAATTAAAAAAAAAAACGATAATTTGTTCAATTTTTTTTAATAACTTGAAGCGAATCTATTTATCAAAAAATTATATAACAAAAAAAAAATATAATAGAAAATCCTCGTCAGAGCTGTTGAATTTGTTGAGAAAGAACTTTGTAGATTCTTACCACTTTCTTACATATAAATGGAGAACAAATTTGAAAAGGTGTTAAAATTATATTCGGTGTTTGTATAGATGTTGGCTGATACAGAAACAGAGGAAAAAATTGTCATCATGTGTCAAAGCCGACAGCTGCACTTATTGTTGCTTGACAATCAGTTTTACTTTTCGGCACTCAGTGCGGATACAGGGTTTATCCGCACGGAGTGCCGAAAAGTGTAACTTTGAGCACCAAAATATGTGGGGAAAAGTACTACTTTACGCACGCTCGTAGGAAAAATATATTTCCAAACCTGGTTATTAGGGCAGTGAAAAAAAGTATGTCTGATTGCTCTTAGTTTATAACTCGGCTCAATATGAACACGATCGGCATGTTAGTACTTCTTGATGAAGTATGCAAGCTGCCCTACTCAGGCCAAGCAAGGTGATGTCGGGTTGAAGATTGGATGGGTGACCGCAGTAGTACGGGTCGCCCGCACTGCCGCCAATCATTTAGTTTCCAAGTTTAAATGGAGACAGTCCATACAATGAGATACAGAAAAAGCCTCTCAGGGCCTGGGAACCAGGGTATGGGATCGAAAGGGTGAAAGAAGGAACATGATCAGTTCTATATTTGGGTCCTATTGGTACCGCCGATTTTGCTTTCTGTAAGGCAATTTTGAGGATATAAAAATAGCTAGCTAGTTTTGATGTTAATTCAGAAAGCAGGTATCAAACTCAAACATAAAAACTTTAAACGCAAGGAGCTAATATATTTTAGGATAAACATTCATTGCTATAGTGTATGTTGAAAAATGTCATTTATGTTCAATAATTGTTATTTCTTGTAAATAAATCATACATCAAAAAGCACAAAACTGAATCACGATTTTCAACACCTTGCTACATTTTTCGGAGTATCGGAAATCGACAATAAATTTATTTATTCGTTTACCTAAATATTTAGCGACTTGCATCTTTTCAATGATATTCTAGGAAAATTGTCGAAAAATACATGCATTGCAAAAAAATGAAAAATCCTAACCAAATGAACTTTTCAGGGATGATAGGAGGCGGGTATGGGTGACCATAAAACCGAAGATATCACACATGCACCCCTCTGGCGTTTTGCGCTATAGGGGTTGAAAGTGCGCCATTGGCGATTACTTGGTTTCTATTGATTTTACAAAAAAATGTTTCAGATAAAAGATGTGCAACATTATTTGATCTACAATGTTTATGTAAAGATTTTTTTGAAAAAGGGCTGCTTGAAATTCATAATGAAAATAATTTTTTTTAACCAATGTGAAAAAATTTCTAAAACACACACAACGTTTTTCCTTATCAACTTTTTTTGTAACTCACCCCCATTCAGCGGGGGGACACTTTCCTTAGGTAAATTTTTTTTATTTTCATTATAAATTTCAAAAGGCGCTTATGACCACAGACGGCCCTTAATCAAAAAAAGTCTTTAGATAAACATGGTAGATCAAATAATGTTGAACATCTTTTATTTGAAACAGTCTTTTGTAAAATCAATAGGTACCAAGTAATCGCCAATGGCGCACTGTCAACCCCTATAGCGCAAAACGCTAGAGCGGTGCATGTGTGATATCTTCGGTTTTATGATCACCCACCCGCCCCCAATCATCCCTGAAAAATTCATTTGGGTAGGATTTTTTTTTTGAAAATCAACAATTTTTCTAGACTATGACAAGAAATTGAAAAATAATTTCAGAATAAACCATTTTGAAAACGTTTTGTATGTCTTATACTGCCGTTCAAGGATATACTATGGGTTTTTCTAAGTACTCACATTTTGAGCCCTGGGTGTGAGTACTTAGTACTTACATGCATGGCTTTAAGAGGGCATATTCATGATAATGCATGGCCGCATGATAATGCATGGCCGCATGATAATGCATGGCCGCAAAACCTCATTGGGTTTAGAAGAAAGATTTGAACCAGAAATTTAAACAAAATTCACTACACTAGACCAGAATCAAAATTTTTAGGACAGCTAAACTGTTCCTGGCCACAAAACACAAACTTGTATTTTTTTATACATAAATAATTCAAATGCTGTAGGTAGAGGAAGAGACCCAAATTTGAGACAATCCTACTACAAGTTTTGGTTAAGGATATTCTAAAACTATGTTGTATCAAGTTTTGTTGTTCAAAAGGCCTCAAAATATGACATTTTTGCGGTTTGGTCTATTAAATTTTGAAAATTTGTTGTGATCACCCTGTATCGTATAAAAACAAAAATTAGTACATTGGGGTTTTAGACCATTCTAAACAAGAATTTGCTATCAGATTTTTTCTAAAACAATCCCTAATGTACATACATATATACAAGGTCTTTCACGAACATCGAAATAGAGGCGTTTTAGGGTATTTTGAGGTCAATTTAGAAAAAAACGCTCGGATACGTCATTTTTGAATTCAAGGGGGAAACTTTTGGACCCCATCGGTATTTCGCTAGGGTGCACCCTCTGGGTGGGGCTTTCACCCCATTTTTTTAGATAGGGAAGATGGGTCGAGAGATAGGTACCTTGTTTTAAAGGTATTTTGATTCTCATCACAAGTGCGTATTTTTTTTGAAAATCTAATGATTAGTTCTCAAGATATTCACTGTCAAAGTTGCCATGGGCTAAATGAGAAAATCTTCTGGCCCTGTTATTCTCAAATTAATACTTTCCTGACTTTCCTCTCAGACACGTCAACTTTCATTTTTTGTGTGCTTCTAAAAAAATGAAAATTGACAAACAAACGAACAGGCGGGGTTTATTCGAAATGTGCAATTCAAATTCGTCTCACTAAGTCGCAATTTTTAGCAGTGAAACACCGGCAAAAAATGCGACTTACTACTACCGACGAACACTTTACTACAAGGCAGTTTATTTTAGTTTACACTATATTTGTTCGATGGCATTACATATTTTTTATAATGACGGGAAATCTCAAATTAGACGCCTATCTCAAATTTGGGTATTTGCCTCTAAGCCTTAATTAACACAACCTGCATCATTTTGAGTTCAAGTATTTTTTACCAAGGCAAAGATAACCCTACTTTGGAGTAGGATTATCTTTGACCAAGGCTATATGACCGTTATTCGAAATTTAGTCCACATCCCATCACACATGTTAATGTTTTCTAAACCAAAAATTTACTGAGGCCCATTTTTTAATTTGAGTAATCGATAATTTTTTTTGTTCACCAGTAAAATATTGTTTAGGAAAAACGTTGACAGCTGAATTTGTATCCAGGCAAAAACTGCACTGATAAAGTATTAGTAGAAATTTCCATTTAAATTAAGTACTTGCATTTTGTTATTTTTTTCTGACAAAAAATAAATAAAAATTTTTACCATTTCATATTGTGAGCTTTTGAGACTTGACGATAGTAGTATTTCGACTAGGTAGAGAGGATGATTGAAGACTAGGGGTCAACAAAATCTCACTGGCTCACAGTAGCTAGATGTAGTAGACTCGTAGCGGTCAGTCTTGTACTATTTGATTTAAGCAGTCATGTCGAGGTGACTCAACAAAGCGGCGCTACGCAGGCTCAGTGAAGAGGCTTACAAGAAAGGTCGCAGCGAGCATACTCAATGTGTTACCTTACTATCATCCACCACATGCTATCAACCTATAAACATGGCAGTATTGTCAGGCCACAATTTTTTTTGAGATTGTTTTATACTGTCAGTTCTAGCGATCACATATGCTGTACAACATGCAAAGTAAATTAACTTAAATTATCAATGTGAACAAAAAATAATTTAAAAGGGGTTGTACAGCAGTTGGAAAATTAAATAGTAACTGATCAGACCATTTAGCAGAGGTAAATAGTTGCTCGACTTATATTCAATGACAAATAAATGCATTCATTAATTTGATAGGTAGGTACTTATTACTTGAATGTTTTGATGGACAACTTTGATGCAATTGAGTTAGCTTTTTTGAAAAACCACAGTGTTTTAAAATTTGTTCAAAATATTAGGAAAGGCATGAGAATTACAAGAACTAAAGTTGGGTCAACCCTCAAAATGCAAAAAACCAATCAATTCGATTTACCGTCTTTTTTTCTTCTCATGAAATGTTTTTCGTGAAAGGTTCTTCCCTCTATTCTCACACTGCTGCTTAAAATCCAGGCAAGCAATTTTATGATTTTTCTGACACATGAACTATTGAAGACAAAAATGACCAAAATAGAGTTGATGGTCTTAGTATTAGAGTTGTGATTATAATGATCTTTCTCACGTCTTTTTAGTTTCAAAATTTCGTGAATGATTGTATCAGATTACTCAATCATTAATAATTTCAATATGTCTGATCAGTTTCATCAAATAAAAATTTCAAAATTTGAACTGAAAATAAGTATTGAGAAAAAAAAATCTCCTATTTACCTATCTCTGCGGCTTCTTCTGTTTTTTCCACAATCTCTGGCATAATGACCCCTGTCTCCGCATTCATAGCACCTATCCTCGGGATGAAACGGACGCCCCCTTGATCTTGGAGGAGGTCCCCGGCTACGGTTAGTTCCAGCTTTACCATTAGACATTTCAACTCTAGCTCTCCTTCCACATACGCTTCTGCCATCTGAAAATTTATAAAAACCTGAAGTCATAGGAAAATGGAGTACTATGTAGATTTTCGGTTTGATAACGTCGAAGAATATGTCTATTTGGGACAGTGATTGCATCAAATTAGGCAAAGATAATCAAACCGCCAAAATAAACAGACATATTCAATTGACTTGGGCAGCCACTGGTAGCTGCAGTTAATTAGCTCTGAGATCCGAGTTCTTATAATGAAATAATGCTGCCTAAGATATTTTTGTCATAGCTGCACATACTATTTCCAAGCACTGCCAGGGTTAGTAAGACTTCATGAATTAGAAGTCGAAAAGCTTAAAACTGACCAAAGGGTTGTGCTATCCAATCAGAATTGTGTTCGTGTGGATGATGTAGCAAAATTAAATAAAGATTTAGAAGTAATTTCTCCTATTCCTGCCAATGGCCAGCTTACTTTGGAAGGTATTGGAAATTAAATGGCGCCACTGATTACTGGAATTCTTGAGAGGATTCTTGATGGACAATCTGAACTTATTTCAAATAGGCTGGAAGACACCTGCAAAGCGATTCTGGATTCTAATAAGGAACTTATTGGATTTATGTCCAAGTCATACCACTACTGTCTTCAAAAAAGAAGCATGAACATTCTGCTAGTATTCCGGCATGCCTGGAGTATTTGGATGATAATATTGTCAAGCAAACTGGTCGACCCTGCACAGCTCCACGCCTCGAAATAATACCTAATAAAGAAAAATTCTCATAAACAACATATCTGACAAAAAATCTAAGGCCAACCTGATGATTATTTTTATGTAACATTGAACCTGGTCAAGCCAATTCGTGCCTTTGGGTTAGCATAGGTAGATAACAACTTTTCACAACCTTTTTTTTCGTTTCATCAAGAAAAAAACTACAAACTTGAAACTATAGACACTAACCTAAACCTCTAACTGCATCTTCAGCATCCCTTGGATCCTCAAATTCCACAAAAGCAAAACCAGGTGGGTTTCTGGCAACCCAAACATTCCTAAGAGGTCCATAGTACCTGAAAGCATCTTCGATTTCTTGTTTGGAAGCACTGTTTCCAAGATCTCCCACATAAACTTTGCAATCTGAATTATATCGGGACATTGTTGAACTATGGCTTGTTTCAGAATCAAGTATCTAAAATAAAAAAACTTATTTGGACATTTGCAGTTATCGATCGGCATTTGCTACACGCTGCACAGCATAATGAGGAGGCGTCCAGTCGCTTGCAGAAGGCCCACAAAAGAATATGACACTTACCTCAATTGAATTGTGCGCTTATTTTGAATGCTTATGAAATACTGCTTTATTTAAAGGCAAAGTTTGATAAACGAAACGACTTTGTTTTGATTCACCTCACCACACACCTGACTCTACCCCATATCATATCCAAGAAGGGGCAAAGTCGTAAATAAGCTACGCCTGTACTGTGAATTGTGATAAAACGAATGCCCATTTGCCGCATTTGCCCAAGCAAAGCAAGAAGCAAAGCCCAAGGCCCAAGTGAAGTGCCGGCGTCGGCCAAGGATACTACACACTACTACTACAGTATAGCCTATCCCCATAAGGCCTGTGTGGAACAAATCTAAAGGCCCCACACTTCAAATCACCAGTTGTGACGTAGCAGCATGTCCTTCCTCGCCTTGACGAAGGCTGTTTGCAAGGATGGGCGCTTTCTTTTATTCAGCGGTGGATCCATCGGTAATCAGCCTTTCTTTGTCTAGCTCATAGAAAATTGGAATGTCAGTTTCATAATGCTGGCAGCAGATGGATCCATTGCTGAATAAAAGATCGCGCCCGATGATACACACCTACAAGAGCCGCTTTCCAGTATGGGAGTGTGACGCTCGGAGCTACTCAGTGCGTTGAGCTCCCGAGCTGTACGTACACGTCAATCTGTCAGCTGTCACATCCGTGGGTGGCTATTTATTTATTTATTTCTTGTTATATCTCGGGATTGAACATTTTCAAAATATAGTTTTGATTCTCTTTCATTTTTGATAAATAAAAAAACAAACTGCACACACAAACAGATAATTATTTTTAAAATTTGACATATTTGACACAGACAGGCGTCTCACGCCATGATACTGGAACGGTACAAATCTAGTGCGTGGCGCCCCCGAGGTGCTCAAGAGCGCGCCATAGCGCGCCAATGTGCATACTAGAAAGCAGCTAAGGATTGCTTATCGGCCTCGTTTTTGGTCAAGGATGATACACACTACTACTACAGGATGGCCTATCCTCAACATAAGGCCTGCGTGTAACAAATCTCTCCTTCCCCCCACGCCAAAATACTAGTTGTGACGTAGACAGCATGTTATTTCTCGCCTTGACGTAGGCTGTTTAGACAGCTGACGACTTAGTTATGACGTCGAAAATGGTATCATACCATTATGGAGGCGATTGGCAAAAACGAGGCCGATAAGACCTCCTTTAAGAGCGTGTATTCTCCTTGGTTTTTGGTAATCGCCGCAATATTGGTGTGGGGGAAGAAGGGGATTTGTTACACAAAGACCTTATGAGGATAGGCCATCCTGTATAGTAGTAGTGTGTATCATCCTTGGGCTGTTTGCACCACAGGTTATGATTCCGCGGGCTTTTGCATGCATACTTGGTTTTACTACAATAATTAACTTTCTGAAACAATTCTTTTTTAGATCTCGTTTTTATGTTCCTCTTTGCCTGTTATGTATTTAAATTCTAAATTACTACTGCTAGTGCAAACAGCTGACGATTTAGTTATGACGTCAGAAAGGGTAACACCAATATGGCGGCGATTTCCAAAAACGAGGCTGATAAGCAGTCCTTAGTAGTGTGTATTATTCTTGGGCGTCGGCCTCTGCAAATAAAAAAAATTTCATCAAGATTAGATTGACAATTGACAAGCAAGGGGCATAGATCTGCTTTCTGCTTTCTTTCGGACCGGATCACCTTAGCTGCTTTCTTTCGGACTGGATCACCAGGAGTGCGTTCAAAGACGGCAATGTTAATGCCAAAACCTACTTTTCCCCTTCTACCGGCAATACCAAATCTGATGTGAATTTGCTGGAACGCCAAATACCGTTTCTCAATTAGACAATCCAAACCACGTGACATTCAAGATGGCGTGGCGCCCACATATGGACGAAAAAACACCCAACTCAATAGTTTACGTACCTACAAATATTTTATTGAATAATCAAAATCAAAGCTGCAAGCAAAACTCGAAGCAAAATAATTGAAATATGCATGAAAACACATATTCAAAACTAACTTGCTGGCCGCCACGCCATATTGAATTTGGTCTCATCCAATCATAGCCGCTTTCCAGTATGGGAGTGTGATGCCCGGAGCTACTCGGGGCGTTGAGCCCCCGAGCTGTACGTACGCGCCGTCAACCTATCAGCTGTCACATCTGTGGGTGGCTATTTATCTATTTATTTCTTGTTATATCTCAAGATGGTACATTTTAAAATATATAGTTTTGATTCTCTTTCATTTTTGATAAATAAAAAAACAAACTGCACAAACAAACAGATAATTATTTTTAAAATTTGACATATTTGACACTAAGACAGGCGTCTCACCCCATGATACTGGAACGGTACAAATCTAGTGCGTGGCGCCCCCGAGGTGCTCTGGAGCGCGCCAGAGCGCGCCAATGTGCATACTGGAAAGCGGCTCATAATTCGTATAACCATTTCTAGACTCATTTAAAAGCACCTCCAAAAGTTACTTTACCGCGGCCGATTCTGAACGTGTAAAGCCAACCGTTTTTGGCACGCTGGAGCCGAACTTGAACGCAATATGCCAATTTTGGCTTGGCTTTAGCCGTTTTTGAACGCAGCCCTGGTCACAGCGCCAACGCGTATGCCTCATTCTCACTTGCGCGAAATTCGCACTGATCTCAAAAATAAATGGATAAACAAAGAACGCTACTTCTAATGCTGCTAATTTACGAAGTCATAATCTAAACAAAAACAACTGACTGGGACAGCTGTGAGCGTGCGCAGTAGATACATATACTGTGCGTGCACAAAATCTGGCCAATGAAAATGAAGGAATTTCAAAATTTAGAACAGTTGTTCGAAAGATAAGACACTGCGCAGGCGTTAGGCTGTTCCGTTGCACAACTGTTCATAGAATATTGACCCCAAGTTTTCGCACAAATTTTGCCAATCAAGCCGTATGATTGTTTATCCATTTATTCTTTAGATCAGTGGAAATTCACTCTTTTTGACATTGCTTCGACAATTTGGCGTTTTATGTGTCTATCAAACGTCAAATTGTCGAGGCAATAGAGGATTTCAAGCGTTTGACCGGTCATTTACACTTGACAGATAAACAATAAAGTAAACGTCATTTGTTAACCATTTGGTCTTGAATGATGTAGAATGCGTTGCTCATCTGTCAATGTTACCGGCTGGTCAATCGCTTGAAAACCCCAAATGTCAAATAAAGAGCGAATTTCGCGCCACTGAGAATGGAGCCGCTCTTTTTTGAAATTGCTTCGACAATTTGACGTTTGATACACGCATTAAACGTCAAATTGTCGAAGCAATGTCAAAAAAGAGCGAATTTCGTGCAAGTGAGAATGAGGCAGCTTCACATGTCCGAAACTATCCGAAATATTTCCTCTATATTCTCGGACATTTCTCACTAACAGCTATAGTTGTGACGGAGGCAGCATGTCGTTTCCCGCCTTGACGCAGGCTGTTTACACCACAGGTTAATTCCGCGGGCTTTTGTTCTATGCACACCTGGTTCTACTACAATTATAAACCTAGGACCGCTGGCGCAAACAGCTGACGACTTAGTTAATGAAGTTAACTTTAAGTTAACCCTCAAAGTAGTTTTATAATACCCACCCTAAGTGATACTTCGCAAGTAACTTGACTCTTGACTGTAGTTTGGCAAGTACTTATACAAGTGAAAGTAAACGTACACAAGTACACACTATGTGCCGAGTAGCCAATGCTGTATGGAATTCGAGAAGTTCAAGTCGTCGTGAACGCAAGCTTGTGATTGAATGTGTTAGTGGATTAAATATTCATGGAGTCAGTCCGGAAGTGATAATCCTCCTACCTATTTAGGCTGCAGCATTTGTAGTCATGTATTGTAGTTACCGCCGTTTATTGAAAAATAAAAAAAAGTTTAAACAGTCTCTAAATATTGCCATCAACGATTTTTTTTCTCTTTAAATCCGCAATAGGAATTTCTTCAGAGAATTCGACTTGAACACGTATCCAGGCATCATGGACTTCATTTATATTTTTGTGCAAAGCAAGACATGAGTAGCTTCCCAAATAACAGGATGATCCTTTGCATAGATATCCAGAAAAACAAAACCCATCCACAATTCCACTACATTTCAACCACAATTCACAAACAAAACAATCAAAACTTGACTAGACTTATACCGAGTAATGTAGCGCTGCGACTTGCCTACTTGCCATATGCTACTCGCGCCAGTCGTGTCCCTTGACTTGCGACGATTTACCGACATCCAACGGCAAGTACAAGTCTCGGCTTGAGCATAGGCAAGTCTTCATATTCATACACATTACTCGAAACTTGGCAATTACCTGGAAAGTATCACGTAGTGAGTAGCCGCCTTAACGCTAAAACATTTGAAGTTTGGCGAGCGGATGAGCGAACTGAGACTCAAAAATAATTTAAATTTCAAGGTTAGGTATATTTAATAAAGCTTGATTTATAAACTCTCACTCACCGTTCGTTGTCACCGTTCCCGTTCGTTCTCACCGTTCGTGTCGTTTCTAAGCATTTATAAACTCTAAACCGTTACACAACACAAACAAAAACACATCCTAACCCAATATATTTATCTTGAATCACATGACCAAAGTTGTCTAATTTGATTGGCTACTGCACGAACGACGAACGGTCGAGTTAAAAGTTAACCAAGGTGGAACGGTGCCGTTCGCGAGGAAAACGACGAACGGGAACGGCAACGGTGGATATAAATGCTTACATTAATTTCCTATATTTGAAGTTGGAACGGGAACGGGAACAACGAACGGTGACGGGAACGGTGGAGTTTATAAATCACACTTAAAGGTTTTCCACGTTTTTGGAGGATGGTTTTTTACATTTTTGGTGGATTTACGTTTTGGGGGATATTCTCTTTGAGATTCGGCGAGCAGAGCGAGCAATCGGAGACTCAAAAATATTTTGAACAAGAAAGAAAGTGATATATTTGAAAAAGGTTTTTCACGTTTTTGGTGTATTTGCGCTCCCAAGGATCCTCTCTTTAAGGTTTGGCGAGCGTAGCGAGCAATCGAAGATTCAAAAATAATTTCAAGGTGTGCAGAAGGATTTTCAATAGGTTGCCGTCTGGAATGAAGCAGATTCCAAACATCAACAAGTTTGAAGCCCAAATTAGAAAGATGTTAGGTACTAATAAAAGCTTATGTGGACGCAATTTTTCGCGCGGATTCTCAAGCGTAATCTGATTAGTGATTATGCTGGCCCGGGTTATGCGATGCAATTGTGTCATACTCCCAACTCCCTCCCCTTCAAATTTTGGGCCTGCGAGTGAAGTCATCAGCAGCTTATAGTAATGGCGTCATCCGCAGACCTCGATAGATTGCTCGTGATGCAGGCTGTGCTAGTGAGTTAATTTTTTCGTCGATTTTAAATGTAGAAAAGGTGACTTTCGGTCTGTTCTCACAGAAGAAATTAAGTGTTCTTGATCCTCGAGTATCCCAGACTTTGATGGTGGGGGAGTTAGGGGAGTATGACACAATTAATTGACACATCACATAATCGTCATATTCCCAAGGATGATAGTGATACACACCTACAGGATTGCTTATCGGTCTCGTTTTTGGTAATTGCCACCATATTGGTGTGTTATCATTCCCGATGTCATAACTAAGTTGTCAGTCAGCTGTTTCAACAGCCTACGTCGAGGCAAGAAATAACATGCTGCCGACGTCACAACTGGAAGGGGGGAAAGGGGCGGATTTGTTTGTTACACACACACAGGCCTTATGAGGATAGGCCATCCTGTAGTAGTAGTGTGTATCATCCTTGACATAATCCAGCAAAATCGATTATGCTTGATCCTTGCGAAAAATTGTCTACTATAAATTTACGACGACGTATGTCTAGTTTGTTTACTTTAAATGTCAAATTAATATTGTTCACTCGAAATTTCAAAACACTGCTGCGAACATGGAAGTTCGTGCGTCGTTAGCGTGCAGACGGTTCGACTTGGTAATCCGCAATTATTTCGGCCTTGATTTTCGAAATCAAGCTCACGGTGTAATCAACCCATGTTACGCTGAAGTGTCTATTGCAACGCTGATTTGCGAACTCCAAATTGAACTGCAGCATTGGTAATATTGGTCGCGTTCACAAGCACTCAACATGTTGAGTGATAAGTAAGCGGCTTTGTTCCACGAAGTGAAATACCCAGGGTAGATCAGTTTTGATTGGCCTAGAGCTGATTTTCATCTGTTTTCAACAAAGCCGCTGACTAATCACTCATGTTGAGTGCTGGTAAACGCGACCATTGATTTCATTTTCAAGAACAGTCTCTACTGCTCTCCTCATTTTTTTCCAACATTCTCAAGGTGTATTTTCCGACTCTCAAAAACGATTTTTTTTTTCCAGCCCCTTTTCTTATCCATTTCTGGAAGAAGGTAAACTTGTAAAATACGAAACTTCTTTTATAAGCCGCTTTCCAGCTGACGCTTTTGAGCACGCAATCGAGCTTTTGCGCACGCAAATGCTTCAAGCGCGTGTTCGTGTTCCAACCGTACTGCGCTTTGAGAGCTGCTAACTTTTGCGTTTCAAACACAGAACACTGTGCTGCACCGTGCTTGAAGCACACAGCTGAAAAGCGGCTATAAATGACACCTTCGGGCACAATTATTGTCGAATTCAGGACAGACTAATGGATATTACTGGCAAAACTATGCCCAATGCCCGCCCAACACGTGGTTGTGAAAAAAAAAATTTGTCACTTAGATGCCTCCACTAACAAGAACGCCGTCATATTGAAGACTATAACGGCGAGTGCCAAGGATCTAATGGGCATATATGATGCAGTTGACACAAACTTTTTCGGAATTTTGAACGATACCGGTGGTAGGCAATTTGAATTGTCCCACTATGGAACCTCTCCTCCAATGCAACAGTTTCCTTATACGTGCTTGTTCTGAAGCGTTCTCTATGTTCCATAGAAGGTTTCTTAACGTGTTCTTACTTCAGTTAGGATGATCTACGGATGTATACGGATAATATGTTCCTTTCCTTGACACCTCGGCACACAACCATCAATACATTCAAACATCATTTCTGATACGATGGCGACAGCACTATAATTTCGTTTTCTTGGCGATGGTCCATTGTAGCTGGGGACTTCACTGCTGTTCTCTCGCTTGTTATGTCAACTTTTTAGCCAGCCCAGATGATGCACTCAAATAAATCTAAATTTACGATAAAATGTAACAATACGGAACAGATTTTAACCAGTCAAACGATTTCTACGCCAAAATACCAGTTGTGACGTAGGCAGCATGTTATTTCTCGCCTTGACGTAGGCTGTTTAAACAGCTGACGACTTAATTATGACGTCGGCAATGGTGGCACACCAATATGGCGGCGATTACCAAAAACGAAGTCGATAGCACTCCTCGAGCATGATACTATAACTCGAAGTTCGATGTTGTAGTATCATGCTCCTCGAGTGTGTATTCTACTTGCATATTCTAAGGTGGGTTCGGCTTGCTCACTCCGTGCACTCCGAGTGACTCCATTCGCACTCCGGCCGTTCGGATTAAGGTTCGGGTATTGCTTTTTACCGTATTAGGGGTGACTCCATTAGCTCTGTTTACTCCACTCCAACTCCGCGCTGAATAGCCGAACCCAGCTTCTGACTAGAGTCTAGCCGTCACAGCCGGAGCAAACCCGATAATAGCCGAACAGCGAACTCTGGTACATAGAAAATCGAGAACAAGAATTTAATTGTTATTTTTATCGTTTCTTTAACCATCCTTATTTTTATCAAAACAAAATTACAAGTCCATTTTACTAGATAATTATTAGTAAAAATATAACATTTTTTGTAGTTTGGATTTAGGATAGTAGTAGGTCTGTTTCTGCAGAAATCACAAACCAGTCAGAGTGAATTTCATTGGTTGAACTAGTTTTCCGACTGTTTTCAACCAATGAAATTCGCTCTGACTGGTTTGTGATTTCTGCAGAAACAGACCTAGTATAAATAGAAAAAAAAAGTAAAGTCCTTTTTTTAGTTTATTTTTGTCCTATTTTTTAATATTTCTAGAGAGGACAGAGGTATCAGCCGGTGTATCGCGTTCAAATATTTCAGACGATTCAGAAAAAATATGCAAAAGAAATTCGATTCAATCTTAATGAACGTACGTTAATAATATGGAAACCCAGTATTGACCACTTTGAAACGATAACAAAATTAACTACTCCGCTTACTTACAAATGAGCGAAAAAAGGTACCAATTACTCCACAGAGAAAATTTATTTCAACAAAAAAAAATGCAAAAGTCCGCGCATCTAATCTTCAACGTCCTGAAAGAGAAGAAAATACCGCATTCATTTTGCAGATTTGTTGTTCTGTTCCTCTTGATTTCCAATTTAACGAGTTCTTAATAAATATCAACTTTTTTTTTGAGCAGTTTATTACATTACCGAATATACACCTTTCTGCAAATTCAATGCGCTCGGCTCGGCTTTCGGCTACAATCGTAGTTGCTCCACATGTGATGGCTAGACTCTAGTAGCTTCTGTCGGAAATTTAGATATCTGTGAGTGCGTCTGCGCTAAAAAGTTGATAACGAGAATGCGTCTGCTGGATTTTGTTTATTTCTTTCCCAACATAAATATAAACAATATTCGTTTGTTCCAATACTTATTTATTTTTGCATTTTTGCTTCTTTTCAAGTGTCCTTTTCACAGAAGATGATTTTTCAACAGCTCGGTGAGATAAGAATAAAACGGTTTTTGCTTTTTAATTTTATTGTAATTTCAGATAACATATAACTATACAAATGTTCTTAATTAAAAAAATAATACGGCTGGTGAACGAATAAATAAACCTTTATCTAAAAATTTAGGCATGTACCTAATTTATCATTTTTACAATATTGAGGAACAAACTACAATTAATGAATGTAGGTAGGTTATATATAAATGTATTATTCACTTAATATAATTAGTAAAATCATCACAATATGCAATTTTATGGAACAAACTATATTTCGCACCTTAATTGCAATGTGGAATTTTTGTAATATTTCTCTTCAACAAAGCTACAACAGAAAAGCATTGAGCCTATTTTTAATTTAAAAAAAAATAATGATATTTTTAGTTAAGTATAAATAGTCTGTGTTTTTTTTTGCACAAATCAGTCTTACCTTGAAATCGAATAAAAAATATCTTAAAGTACAATCAAGCGCCACTAAATTGTTTTATGATTTTCATTATTTTGTAGACAGGATTTTATTGTTCTTTTTCATATTATCGATATCGATAAACAGATGTGACCAAAAGTTATTTTTAAGCTCAAGACTGTATTTTTTCATGTTTAAATTATGTCCTTATTGCAGTTTCTTTTCTTTGGTAACAACATACCTACCTAAAATTAAACAATAAACAATGCATTTTTTTAACATTCAAAAGCATTATTATTATGTAATTGCAGTCTATGTTATTTATTGAGATTTCATTTAATATTAAAGTTTACACATCGAAAGTTAGGTTCATTAGTAACAAAATAACGATTTCGGTACAAAGCAAACGATAAAATACCACGTGATAGAATAACGATCCTATTTTAGAGATGAACAAACGAGTGATATCAGGATAACTAGAGTCATAAAAAATGCAAAAACATCTCAAGAAAGTGACATTTCTTTAATTTTTGTTAATAATCATAATGAACATATAAAAAGGAAGCTGGGTGCTCTGTTTGCCATTTTTTATCATTCTGTTATTCTTTGTTCTTATTTATTATTTGTTAGAGTTGTAGCAACCCAACTACCGAATGGCTTGCCATGCTCTTGTGTCCTTACTGAAAAAGTGCATCAGGCATTTTTTTTTTTTTTTGACAGCGATGTCCAATAGCAGTTATTCAGATAGTTAATATGTATTGATGAATTCGATCACTTTTTAGGAAATCACTGTTTGAGAAAATCGCATTGTATAGTGTAAATAGAATCGTTACTTTGTCCATGACTCGTTGATTTGTACTGGCGCCACAAATAACCATATAGCGTTAGCCCAAACTTATCTTCTTTATTAGGAAGTAAGGGTTCTAAAACTCTCAAAATACTTAGTTAATAAAAAAATACTGAAACTTTCAGTTTACATAATGAACCATGAATTCCTAATAAATCCTTTCTTACATCTAGAAGTTTATTACATTTATATTATTATCACAAATACGTAAACCATTTTATAGACATTTTATATAATAAAAAAAACTTACGACATAAAAGTCTTATCGTTTGTACAAAACTTTTCTTCCTCGCTGTTTAAATTAATATTAGCAGCCAAAGAATAATCAGGCGTACTTTTACCAATTTCCATTATAATGGATCTGCTAGAGTTCGATTCGCAATGCATTAAGTTAAATTTTGCATTCGTATCGTTTTTGCTTTCATTAACGGCATTAGCCGAACTGTTTAGGTTACTGAAATCTCTAATTTCGTTTGTTACCAATAAAGGAATTTGGAATTGTCTATTTTGCAAATCGTCATCTTGTCCTGAGACGAAAGAGTGTGGGTGCGCCTGATGGTAAAAGGGACGTTTCACTGTTGAGGGTTTGTAGGGGTTTTCAGACCATTTGCCCTGCTTTTGGTCGGATGGGACATACATTGCTGATCTGAAATTGGAAAAAATTAATAAATGAGAGAAGAGATAAAATGAAATATGTTAGGAGTAACATTATAATTGGTTTTCAGTCTTCGGTACCTACTTCGGTCTGTCTGAATAGAGCATTTTTAAAAGGCTTAAGTAAGGTAGGCACTATGGCCGTTTTTAAAAGCTTAAATGAGGTAGGTACTACTAACTACGACCGTTTAAAAATGTTATCCTGGAAAAAGAAAAAAATCCTAATAGTCAAAATGTCGCCTTGAAATGAATGAGTGAATATATGAAATTGTATATTATGTACCTTTACCTAAGGTGTTTTCTCGTTGTTTTAAAACATTTTTCAAAACTGGTTTAAAACAGTGTCACATGACGTCATAACTTCTCAGCTGGAGAAAATGGTTTTTATATCGTGGATTGGATTGTATTTCGGAACGGTTTGAACCAATTTTGATGTGACGTCATGGGTTCATCGCGGGAATATAGGTGTTTTTTCTCGCATAAATTGGTTAAACCAGGTTGAACCTAATTCAAAACATTACATTTTCGCGTTGAACTAATGACGTCATAACAAAACTGATTGAAAATAAAGGGTTTTTCAATAGGGACGGGTCGATGTTAAGGAGAAATGAAATAAGCTGTGTGTAAAATATTACCAAAATTTTATTTTTAATTTAAGGGTCTTGTATGCCATTATTTATGGAACATCACATCGTTCAAATATCCACCGCGGCTTCTCAAGGAGGCATGGAACCGACTGGTCCAATTTTCAATTACTCTGCCGCATACATCCGGCTGAATTTGAGCGATGGCCTGGGTTATGTTCACTTTAAGGGCATCGGTCGATTGCGGCTTATTGGCATAGACCTGAGACTTCAGAAAACTCCACAAGAAGTAGTCCAAAGGGGTCAAATCGTACGACCTTGTCGGCCAATTTACGTCACCTCTGCGAGAGATAATCGTACCCTCAAATCGTTCATGCAGCATATTCATCGTGGCGTCCGCTGTGTGGTACGTAGCACCGTCCTGCTGGAACCACATGTCGTTCACGTCCATATTGTTTAGTCTGGGCCAAAAGAAATCGGTAATCATGGTTCTGTAGCGGTCGCCGTTGACGGTGATGGCCTCACGCGCGCAACGTTAGGAATAGCGAACAATCATTTTGATAATACAGTTTTATCATTTGGACGTGCTGCTCAATCGTGTAACTTGCCATGGTAATTTGGCATCAGTAACTGAATAATAAACAACAGGTTAAACAAAAGCTTTGGAAACAACATGGCCGCCACAGGCTGCCAACTTCGACCCGTCCCAATTGAAAAACCCTTTATTTTGAAACGAGATTTCGCCTCGGTTCAAAAACAAACGCATGCGCAATAGTTTAGGAAAGTTGACAGTTTGTTGTTTATATTTGTGAATTGTGTTGTTTCTTTTGTAGCAGGTTATAGAAGCATGAACATGAACATAACACTTTTAAATTTTTTGAAAAATAGAAAATAGCCTATGGTTAATTAGCAGAAAAAAAACAAACAAAAATCCTAGGTTATGTATGGTTAAATTCTTCTGGTTTGAAAACCTCATTTTTTCTCGAATGGAAGTAATGACGTCATTTTTAAACAGGTTTAAAACGGATTTCAAAAACATTTCGAACTGCTGGGATCGAGAAAAAACACTTATATTGTTTCAAACCTGTTTTGAACCAGTTTCAAAAAAGTGAACGCGATAAGATAGCTCTGGTTCCTGCCTGATACCTTCTGCCTTCTGAATTTTACCCCATCCGAAGTTAAAACCAATTTTCTAGTTGTGAAAATGTGAGTTAAGCTTCTCTATTGCTTACATATACTACATAATTTCACGGGTGATGGTAATGATACCTAACGGTACGTCCCTTAACCAAGGAAATAGAATCACGAGACTATGTCCGTATTTTGCCCACCAGCTGCCATGGTGAAATTTATTAACGGATGGTTGGATTGCCCATATCACCGTTTTCATTTATTTGTAAAAAAATATTCTCATGTGGATGGTTTAAAGCATTTCAAGCTAATCTTTTTGGAAACATTGCATTGACTTGAAAAGTTGACCTTTAGAAACTTGCTTTATCAGAAGTTTGCTTTGTTCATTGAGGAAAAGTTGATGCATAATAATCAAGATAATTAATTTAAATGCTTTAATTCAAGGAACTTACCCTAACTTATGATGCAACAAATTCTGGTTTTCTTTTTTTAACATTTTCACAGCCAAAGCGATTAGAGCGAAAAGTATTACGGCACCGCAAATAGGTACGGCTATAGTCGCTGCTCTAAACCAGACCTCGGAGTTTGAGTACAAAAAGGGTTCTAGGTCTTGATGTTGGAATTTGGCTTCGCTGTCTTCATCTAAAAAAATACAATTTGTGTTAGAATTAAAAGGTTCTATGGAATTTTTTTAATTTTTTGTTGCTTAACCAATGGAAATATCAAGAGAGTCTTTATGATCCATTAAGCATTAGCTGTATCACTCTTTCTGTGATACCTAGTGATTTATCATTTTCCGCGTTCATCAACTGATACTCTGAATTATTTGTTTTTATCTTTTCAAAAAAAAAATAATACATAATGAACAGTAAAAGAAAACCCATTGGGGTAATTCTTACCTAAACTATTGTTGAGCAAATTTTTGGTTATAGGATTATCGATGTGATTGCACATATCTTTTCTGCAACACACCAAAAGGGATCTTGGATGTTCTTTGTTGGGCGTGTGCACTTGTCCATCCTTATCGGTGATTGGGCATCGGGATCTCTTGGATCTGGAAAGAAACACATGAAAATTTATTTATGTCTTAACATGCTTATTGGGATTGTTTGGCATTTGCAAACCCAAACAAAGAAAAACGCTATGTTTATTAAGGGCTGCCATTATTAACATTGATGCTTGAATTATATAGTTTCTACTAGGTAGGTACTACTTAACATAATGGCGCTATCAATAACTTTCTATTATCGATAATTGTAATAACAAAGTTTGTCCAGATTTGATTCTTTAGTTTCGTGAAATTCGGCCGACTTTGTTTTGATAAATGCATGAAGGCACATAATAAAATATGCTACGAAAATACCAAAAATAAAAGGCGGCCTAATTAACTCCACATATGAAAACGGACAATTTATATATACCTACATAACCGATGCCCAGTTGGCCTCGCTTTTTTTTTGTACAGTCAAAACTGCATATATTTATAAGATGTTTGCTCTGGCTTTATTTAGTACCGTTACTGTTAAAACATGTTCTCGGGCATGCATTAATTGCCTTCCTATCATATAAATGAATCGGTTAAAAATTTTCTTCTTCACTGTCATTCGGAAAAATCCGACGACCGGTTTTCAGATTTTATAGCGGTATTTCCTACTGCTGATAATTTGAAATGAACTTCAAAAGGTTTGGTGGACTTTTGCGATTCAGGTGTGTCGCGTAATGGCATTTATTGCTTAGAAAAACAGCAGCCATCAATGATGTAGTTTTGGAATGTTTACCTAACCAATTTTTTGGGAATTTTCTTTTTTAGGGGCAAAAGATAAAATAAAGATAGGTACCTACTCCTACTTTATATTGACTATGTTACTCAAAAGTTATAGAAATGATGAAACTTAGCTTTGTGCGAAAATAGACGAATAACACCAAAACGTTATTTAAATATGATTTTTATGTATTAACCTATAGGGTGGAAATTTAGTAGATACCTAGTTATTAGATATAGTGTAGTAATTTTATTAGTGTGTGTCACGGCTTTAAGTTGTTGAACTTGCTAACGAATTATCTGTACCTGGTTTTCTAGAATTTTGAAAAGTGCTGGTGCTGGTTTTATGTATTGATTAATGTCATTATTATTTTATGTCATATTTTATATCATTTTATTAAGTTCATTCTACTGCGAATATACCTTTTGTCCATTAAAGTAACGTGCTTTATTCTGGGGCGAAGTCCCGGATTATTAGACCCCTTTCACAAGCCCCCCCTACAATAGGTAGTCCCTAAAATCGCTAAGAATACACGCAATTAATTATTGTTGTGGCATTTGGCTGCATTGATCGATGCTGATTAAATAGGAATCGGCTTACATTCGTTATGATTTATGAAGTCAAGTTCTTTCCACCCCCCAAATTCTCAACTCCTCTATTATTGGAAACCAAATTAGACAAAAAGCAAGCAGAAAGAGTCCTTCCCAATATTCTTCCAATTTAGTAGAGGTAGACCGATGTAATTTGAACAAATTTGGATGTGGAACCATTGGTATTTTCACTCTCTAACCGCAAAATTTCAAACGGAAAGGGGGTTCGGGTGATACAATGTACTACATATTTCCTAACTTTGACGAGGCGCCATTTCGGCAGGGATTATTTACCAATGAAGTAGTAAGAAGGTTTGGAATGGCCCCTTGCCTATCTACTCAATACGTATATTTACGGCCAAGATTAGAGTGAGAGAACAGTAGAGATCCGTGTGATTTTCCTGCCCTTTGCCCTTACTAGCGCTATCTCACTTAGGGTTAGAGTGAGAGATCCGACAGAACCAATATATTTTCTGCCCTTACTAGCGCTATCTCGTTCTGGAATCACTTGAATGACGCAAAGCCCATTCCAAACCTTCTTACTACTTCATTGCTATTTACCCTGCCGCAACTTAAAATTTCGAGGATATAATCTTAAGAAAAGTTTCCGTCAAATGACGTATCACTCGACCCCCCTTTCTATTTGAAATTTTGGGAGTACCTGTCACCCCCGCTTAGGGGTTGACAGGTAAGCAGGTAAAAATACCAATAAAATCGCCGCCGGTCAATTGCATCCCGGTTAGCTCAGGTAATATTTTAAGTGTCCGAATTGCATCCGCCTAATATCCGAATTGCATCCCGGAACAAATTTTAACTACAGGTATATATTTGCCAAAATGAAAACCATTGTTGCCAAGTGTATGTTTCCAAATTGTTAATGTTGTTTAAACTCGCCTCTATGAATATATTATTACCTGTATTACTTATACCTATCTGTTATTGTTTTACCACCCTATTTAGATCATTTATTTACTACAGTTGGTTCTTATCGTTTATGACGTTTATAGTGAACAGTTGTTGCAAAGATGGATGCAAAATTTTTGACTAATGAAAAAGATCCAACTTTAATTGAAATTGGTGGTTATACATTCACATTTTGTTATCAAAAAATATTGGCCAGAAATACTTTAAAAAGGTGGCAGTGTAGGTATACGAAGAAACTATAACAGCAAATTTTGAAAGTGCGATTCATAAAGCGATCTCTCAGGCATTTACACAAACCGCCATTCGAGATTGTAGATTTCATTTGGGCCAATCCTTTTATAGAAAAGTTGAAAAAATTGGCTTATCATTTGCATACCAGAATAAATCAGGGGAGGATACGCAAATATCAACATTTTTGACGTATATATTTGGAATTCAGCATCTTTTCAAAAAACTACAAATGCTTGCGAATCTTTTCATTCCAAGTATAATTTATCTTTTTATTGTACTCATCCTAATATAAACGTTTTTTTTAAATGTTTTATTAGGATTTTGAATAGATACATATGTTAAAATTACTAGCATACAAATTGTACTCGAAACTGACTCACAAACCTTACATAAACAACATTTTATCCAAGGGAAACTCAAAAACTTGAAAGATAATAAAATAGATAAATTTGAATTTGTAAAAGCGGTTTCGTATAGATTTAAGGCTCATGTAATTTAAATATAAGTATTTTTATTATTAAGAATATAATAATTTCGACTAACTTTGAACAGACTTATTAAAAAGTAACAAGCTGTTAAATAATTTTAGCAAAATGTTGCAACGTTGTTGCTTAATTTACCTGTGTTCCACTGAAAGGTAACTTCAAAAGGTGGATGCTTGCGGGATGCAATTCGGACAGTACCCTTTTCAGGCCAGGTATAAGTAATTATTTTGGGATGCAATTCGGATCCGGCCAATAAAATAGTCAAGCGATTTTTGATTATTCACCTAACACCTGAGAAAACCGGGGTGGGAAATTTTTCGTGCCTCGTATATACAAGGTGTCCCACGACGTTTTACCCAGGCGATAACTTCGGTACGCGTCATCTAATATATATAATTGAAATTTTGAGGATCTGGGATTTTTCTTGTGCCACTTCTACATACGTCATTCAATTTCACTTTCGCTTCAGTTTCCGTCAAGTGACAGCAACTTTAGAATCTTAAATGTACAGTCGTGAGCATTAAAAATGGTAATACACCCGATTTTTCCTATTGTAAAACGGGCTCACTAGCTACACCGTCGGCAAGGATAGGGCTTGTCATAATTGACAAAAAATCGGTTGTACAGATAAGACTGATTTACCCAAAATAGCGAAAAATGACAAGACCTGTCAGTCGAGTGTCCCAATTTTAATGCTCACGACTGTAACTGATGGAATATTATTTTTCGTTAGAAAATTAAATTACAAAATCGGCAATGCCATATTTGCTAAACGCTTTGTTAAAGAAAACGATAAAAAATCACAAAGTGGAACATTCGATGATGCGTTCCGAAGTTATCACCTGGGTAAAACGTCGTGGGAAACCCTGTTTATACCGGGTGGGGCACGAAAAACGTCCCACCCAGGTTTTCTCAGGGGTTAGGTGTTTAATCAAAAATCGCTCGACAATTTTATTGGTATTTTAACCCCCGCTTAGGGGTTGACAGGTAGCTCCAAAATTTCGAACAAAAAGGGGGGTCGGGTGATATGTTATTTGATAGAAATTTTTTTTGAGATTTTTATCGTCGGAACAACTTAAAAAAACCTAGGTGGGAAGTTTTTCGTGCCCCACCCTGTATAACTTAAAGCCATCTGGAATGTTTTCCTTCAAAAAAATCAATAAACATTCACTAAAACCTTCAGTGGCAAACTTTATCTTACTTCCGTTGTCTTTCGGGGTGTCCACTGGCGGCCATGTTAAAAAATCGCCGCCACGGCCGCCGGGGGGCAGTTGGCCGATGGCTCCACATCCAAATTTGTTCATATTAAATCGGTCTACCTCTGTGCCAAATTTGGTGCCTTTATCAAAAAGTGCACAATATGTTGAAATATCCTAGCTAAGCTGCCGCACTACATTGCCTTCTCGATGTTATTATCTTGCCCTTCCAGGATCCACTCGAGTTTGTTCCAGTTTGAATCTATTCTCGCTGAAATTCAAAATTTTCCTGGAGCTGATCCGGTCCTTGATATTTTCGGGCCTTCTATTCTTGTTTTTATTTCTGTCTTTTTGCATCATCTTCTTGCTTACCTTTCTATCTTCTTGTTGTTATAAAAGTGCTGGCAATGGTGCAACTGCTGCAAGCCGGTTCCTTTGTGTCTTTGGGAGCTTCCTTCTCTTGTCCCTTGTCTTCGATATCTTTCATGGACTCCAGGAACGTTCGATAAACTCGCTCCACCCTGTCGTTAGGATACGATGTACTACGTATAAGATACTCATCTGTATATTTCTTGAAACTTGATTTATATAAAGTTGTCGTGCCGTGTCTTCTCAAACACACGATGGAATGTTCTAGAAAAATCACAAAATCACTCTGTGGACATTCCGCGATCCACTAAGCTCTCTCTACTGACATAACCAAACAACCACAACTTTTATTGGACTTATTGACTCAACAATGCTATTATTTAGGTGAACTGACTGCAACGTACAAACTACGCTGTATCAAACTATTTGATTTATGCGCTACATTTCTAGAATTCGCCTAAATGCTTTTCTATTTTTATTTATTTTTATTCCCGAA